AAACGCCATTGCCTTGGAAATTGCCTTTTCAAAATTTGCACACGCATCCGATATTATTAAAACTTTGATGAAGTGTTTAGCGCTTTACTAACTTCACGACAGGCTAGTTTTGAAAAATGTGAACTCGCCGTTAGTTTTTTAATCAGCCGTGTTATGTCGATCTCCATGTATTCTCCCATAGGGCAGGCCGCCTCCTGGAACCCTGAGTACCACGTGACTCGCACCGAGCCCTATACAGCTCCTACGGAGCAGAGTAGCGCAATCCTTTGAACCCCGTGTTTTGCCGACAACATGGCCGACAGAGCGGCTCGGCGCGAGTCACGTGGTACTCAGGGTTCCAGGAGGCGGCCCGCCCTATGGGAGAATACATGGAGATCGACACAACACGGCTGATTAAAAAATGAACGGCGAGTTCACACTTTTCAAAACTAGTCTGCCATGAAGTTAGTAAAGCACTAAACACTTTATCAAAGTTTTAATAATATCGGATGCGTGTGCAAATTTTGAGAAGGCAATTTCCAAGGCAATGGCGTTTGAAGCAGACGATTTTTGCTGGCAGCGGAGATGGGCTTTTCGGGTTGGCCGGAGCGGGTCACGTGAATGGTGTGACGTCGCCGTGTCGTCTGCTGCAAGATGCCGCTCAAGCAATTTTTTAAAAAAAGTCAGGTCCTTGCGGGGCACAAAACTTAGCGCAAATTATTCTAAAATGTTCCATTATTATGTCAAAAACAATTGCCACTCCGTACATCCCCACAATACTGAAAAAACAGCGATTGTCTCACGTTCTCCATGCATTTCTGACCGCAGTTGGAACCTCCGGGCGTTCGCCGCTAGTCGCCGAGAGGCGGCGTTCTGGATTGCGCTACTCTGCTCCGAAGGAGCTATATAGTGCTCTAGTCGGGACGTCGCCAAAACGTTTCGCGGCGGCGCCACGGCGCGCCAACGCTGGCGTCTCCCGGCACCGCAAATGCACCAGGCGTGTGCGTCGGCGCAACCCGCATGAACCCTACCAACGCTACTAACACTGGAGTTTATCACGTGGCCCGTCAGTTGGGCGGGTGCTCGCATCAGGCTGGGATTGCTCGGCTCCGGAAGAAAGTGTATCGATTCGTGACAGTTCTGAATCTAGGACTCCAAAAAGTGCTACAAGCTGTTCAGAACAAGGTGATTAGTGTCTAAATAAAGGGAACACTTCACGTTTCTCTAACGCAGCCTCAGTTTTTCATCAGTAAAGAGCGTGTAGGCGGCATTGAGCTTTGGGCATCTTTTTTACTCGCGGAAGTACGACTTTTCGATGTTGAGGGAGCAAGGAAATTGTGAGGAGTACTTGGAGTGCTCAGCCTACAGTTATAATCAGTCAGGCAATGGTGTATTGTATGTGGCTGCAATTACCTCGTGCAATGCACACCTTGAAGATGGATTAGCGAGGCATAAAATCTCCGTATAAGGAAAGTACTGGTTGTCGCCCCTGTGGCCTAATGGATAAGGCATCGGTCTCCTAAACCGGGGATTGCGGGTTCGAGTCCCGCCAGGGGTAATTTTTTTCCTATTTTTTTAACGACATTTTTGTTTTAGGACGAGGCAAGGATTCACTTTCCAGCGCTTTTTTCAAGTGTCTCGAGTCAGCCCCTCGAAGGGTGTTGCTTAATAAATGAGGTGGGATCGTTTGTCGTAACTTCATATTAAACGTTGCTAAACCCCAGATCAGGCACCATTTCCAAAATCACCTGTTGGGAGTTTTGACATCAGATAGCTGCGCGCTGTGTGCAATATTAACTATCCTGCGCAGTATGCATTAGAAATCCCATGGCACCTGAGCAGATTTGGGAAATGCTTGTAAACTAATTGCATGTTCAGTGTGCAAGTGTAACCATGAATTACAACTATTGCAGGTTAAGCTTTTCTGGTATTCATTAATCACAATGCGTTCCTTGTCCTTCAGAACATAAATGAGCATCGAAGTCAACTTTCTGGAATCTCGTAGACCTTTGCAAACTGATCCCTAGCTTTTACCATAATACTAACTAATGTTCCGCTTTAAACATTTACTCCAGCACGACCACATGAACACACAGCTATAAAACAAATCTGCAAAGACCTGTCTAATCCATGCCAATTTTTATAAAGTGGTCGTGAATAATAACGTAAATAGGAATCTATGAATTACTTTGCACAGCCATTGCTGTGCAAAGTAAAAGACGCCTCTCGAAAGTCATGTGCCGATAGTTACGAGGTCTACGTACCACATGCACACTGGCAAAAAAACCGACAGAAAGTGCAAGTTTAATACATACATAAGATGGAGATGAAGTGTAATTAGCAACATTTATAGTGTTATTGGCATTGTATGCCAAAGTTGAAACACTGTATTGTGAACACTGAACAACATTGTATCCACCATTGTGCAAGGGTTCCGCCATCCAACATAGAGCCCTTTCGAAAGGGGTCAGTTTCTTGATGCCAGCTCGAGGTGGCCCAGCAACTATCCATCTTTACAAAATACCATTCTGGCACTCACCTCTTTGTTCATGATTATTTGTCCATCCCAGTCACAAACTATAAGTTGTAAGAAGTGAGGAGACGAGCACTGCATAAGCATTTGGCTGCCAGTCGACTTCCATCCTTGTTTGAGGACCGGGAATAGTTAGGTGCCAGCCATATAACACATTCTGTGTGAAAAGTAATTGTGTTGTATGTTTGTTCAGACAGCAGGAAGTTAGACCCATGGAGTGTCTGGTGTCTCTGCTGTAAATGTGAAATTTAGCCAGTGCAGCAGCAGTGCTAGCCTAGGGTCTTTAGATCGATTGATTAGGGTTTTATGGCGCAAAAGCATCTTAGGCTATGATGCGCCAGATACAGACTATTGCAGAGAAGGTTTCAGAGGAGAAAGAGCTTTAGTAGCTGTGGTGGATTAAAACTATGTATATGACTTGTAAATAGTGGTGGAGATGAAGTTGAATATAAAATTATAGCCGGTGTAAAAGACCGATAGCTCTGAAAAAGTTAAAAACACAACTGTGTGGTATAAGTGGGCCGTTGCCAAGTAGAATACTAAGGTGTAAAGGCGTATGCTCGTTATATAATTGAGAAAAATGTTTCCGACGTTCTCAGTCATACGCTGGGCATTAGGGTCTTTAGCGTGCCTCACCCAGTAGTTATACACGACCGTACACCGGCACTCGTATATCGGGTGTCTTAAATAGCGGCCAGGCTCTTTAAATCGACTGCCAAAATTTGGTTTCTTAACCTATCGTGCTACAATTTTGTGCACCGCTGCCCACAGGAGGTGCATTTTTTTTTTGTCAAATTTGCAAAGAGCGAATTTACTTGAGGAATCAGTACAAAAAGAAGGCTTAACTCCTATGGAAATGCAGCGAAGCCACCAATCTTCAATCAATAGGGCGCCCTATTGTTTGAAGACCAGTGAGGTCGCTGCGCTTCCATAGGAGTTAAGCCTTTCTCTTTCTTTTTTACCTTTTTCACAGGTAAGTTTGCTCTTTGCAAATTTTATTAAAAAAATGCACCACCTGTGGGCAACGCTGCAGAAAATCTTAGCATGAGGTTAAAGGCTCATTAACACTGCCCCATTTTTTTACGTTAAAGGGGCCCAGCAAGGACTTTTTTACTGGTTTTTAACACATCACGAGTGCCCAGCAATTTATCATAAATATTTGTTACAAACACAAGTTTCGATAAAAGTGAACCAGCTTTGTTGGGTCTGAACAATTTCGTGGAAATGATCCATGGAAACACATTTTGTAAACAACTTTTTAACAACACACGTTTCAAGGACACGTTTTATCAACACCGTGACATTTTGTGGAAACTCGCCTCATCGACACATCCTCCTGCGAAAGTTCGTTAACATACTGCTTTTTACTAGGTGGATTGCATTGGATTAGTGGCTTCATTTCGCTTGCTGGAAGAACACCGAAACTACAGCAGAGTCACCCAGGTGTTTCTAATAAAGCAAAGATAAACTGGACAGCCCCAGTCCTGGGTTTCCAAAAAGACGGCACTATGCGCACAACCCCTCACTTTGCTCCGCTACACTTGGGAAAATGGAATATAATTTCAGGCCGGAGCTTGCCCCCAAGCTTTGTAGGAACCGACACGGCTTCAGCAAGCTACGCTGTCATTTGGATGCAGGTAGCCAAGGCGATGTGCACAAAAAAATGCTTTCAACAAAACATTGCAAAGCGACTCAATAAAACAAACCTTCCAATGAAACAAACTGTTGATAAAACGTTGCAGTATCGACTAACGATCTGCCGATGAAACATCGTTCAACGAACAGATTGCCACCACACGGGTACAGCGCCATGTTCTTTCAAATAACCACTTTCCGGTGGCGTTTACGCTCCACCATCGTTCACGCAGCATAAACCTTGCCCATGTCCAAGGAGGGGGCATTAAAAAACTGATCCATCCAGTGCTTGGACTGTTCACTTAACCACCATGCTACTTAACCTCCATGCCGCTGCATGGCTACAAAGCGAAGCTCATTATTTGGTTGACTATACCTTGGAAGTGAGGTTTGGTCTCCAGCATACCTCTAACCCCTGCTAAACAAGATGCGCCCTGCAATGCCATTACCCAATATAGCAGTTGAAAAAAGATCACAAAAAGCCGTGCACAAAACATGCGTTGAATTATGCAAATGTCCTCTATGCTTCTCTTTGCTCCCACAGCATTTGCCACATGTCACTGAAAAGAGAGAGAGAGAAAGGGGGTAGTGCAGTTTCACACCTGCTATCACCCACTTGTTTGTGCTGCCTCTGTTGTCTGCTACAGTTGGTTTCCAGAATCCTTTCCAGTGCCACATAGGTGCTGCTCGTTTTGCAATGGGTGTGCCACAAGAAAAAGGAAACTTGCGTAATTATGTCTGCAAGACATCACATTGCCAATGATGGCTCAAAAGGCAAGCAACAAAAGCAACACACGAGCCGAATGTCGTTACGTGCTGCGTCGTCGCCTCACAAAGTGAAACCCAGACAGCATCACCACCATTCTACTCCTTTATTCTTTTTTTATTTGTTTCACAGATGCCTCGCAACAAAACGCCACGCCTCGAGGAGAGCACTCTCGCGGCATTCTAAGTTCATAAATACTACTCAATGTACAAGGAACATTGCACCCTCTGGCCACCGGGACCAAGGCACTTGGTCATCCCAACAAATACTGGACGCTGTAGCAGTCCAGCAGTTGCTGCTGCTGCCACCCGGAGCAGAGCAGGGTATGCAGAAGTGTTCAAAGAGGACACTGCGCTGGGACCGCTAGATCTGCTACAGCCACAGACTAGATGCAAACATTTCAACTACCCCACACCCAACCAGAGTTCCTTGCTCTGGTCCCACAATGTACTTAAAAAATGTGGCACTCTAAATTTTTTTTTTTAAGCTTTACGAAATGTTTGGGATGCACAGGTAGCTTTTTAATTTGTGTTTTTACTTGCAGGAAATGTGTCAACGGAACAACTTTTATTTTGCATCTACTTTAAGCGTGCAATATAAGAAAATAACTTTCTAATTAGATTTAACACGCAAGATTTAAATTGCTACAAAACGAAGGAAAACAAACCATGGAAACAAATTGGATCTCCATTTTTTTTGTAAAATGTTTCTTTTTCTAGTTGGCTGCACTGGATCAGAACAAGGGCAAACAAACATTTGCATTGAACTGTGCAGAGCGCGGCAAACCTTGTGCCGTAAACTCGAAGCTGCCCATATAACAAACTCGAAAGTTTCCTCAAAACTGCACCTCGGTGGTCAGCTCGACCTTTCACAGCACAAATCCCTCCTCATAAAAACTTAGGGCCACCACCCACCATTTTAAAATTACCAATTTTCATTTAAGATGCAAAAGGCTTGTTTTGATAATGATAGTTACACTTAGAAATGACTACTCTACCAGTTTAATGTGGTTGCTAAAAAGTGTCTGGAAGGAAATTATCTGATCGCTTGCTCGAAACATCTATTTCTGGAGGTGGTCGGCAGGCATAAGGTAAAGGAACATTTAGGAAGTTTGCCTGCACGAAAGCATTCGCTGTTGCGAAACATGGACGTGAATGAAAGGAACTTAGGGGCAGCGGCCAAGGAACCAGGGATGTCGAACGTGGGACCCCTTCTCACAGCGAATCCACCCCTGGCCACTCGCCGCCCATGCTGTAATTGAGTATGTGGTGGAAACTGTGCCACAACATGTGGTCTATATTAATAACTCTGGTAAGGCTTAAAAATATAGCTTTGCAGCATTCTGCTTTGCAATTCGGAAGTGCGGTGAGACGTGTCTACTATGTACATATTTTTAGGCATAACTTTTTGGTCTAGCAGAAGGCATTTTGAAGCGTATCCCCACACTCAAATGAAACCATAATCAATGAGTTTGCAAAATTTACGAACTGGACGCCCAAGTCACTACACTGCCATAATCGAGAAAGCTCTCGAGTTTTCGCCATAGGAGCCAGACATTGTACCGTGCTCGTTCGTAAATGTTGTATACTTACTGTTACATTTACCAAAGCGCTTCTTTGCATTACTTGCACCCTGCACCACAAGACATCTAGCTCTCCCTCCACAATGCTGCCGTCGCTCTAGCACATACCGCAGGATTGTGCGAGCCCGAGCACACTGAAGCTACGCAAAGCTATTGCAAGTTGGCATCGTGACATAACACTCGAGGGCCTCGAGTGGCAAGATGCAGCGCCATACTATCCCAATGGGCCAGCTCTTTCCGAGGCCTCCTTCGAAAATTTGGCAAAAGCGCAAGATCTTTTGGTCAGCACTGTCCGCAGAAGGCCGAGATGGAAAGCTGCAGTAGCCCATTGGCAGCAGGGGTGGGTAGTCGCTTCAGACTGCTTTATTCGTTCTGAAATTCTGGCGTGAACTAGCCCCAGATAGGCTAAGGGCACGTCAACCATCCCGAACACGGCGCAGACGGTTTTATTGCGAACGCGAACAACAGGAGGTGCGCACAACGAACGACTGCACTTTAAAATAAAGTTCTTGTACTGTCAAACTGTGTGGCTAAGTAGAAGTAAGTACCCTGCAAAGGAATGGAACCTTTTCCTCGCAACACCGACAGTGCAGACGCCGCGCACGAGAAACTAAGCAAACTGTCTCCTGTTTGAAAAAATAATGTACGAGGGAGGTTACAGAGGTCAACGAGAACAACCCGGCACTCGACACCTGCCAAATGACGTCGCTCGAATGCCCCAGTCCTGCTAGACCGACAAACGGGAACACCCGACACCGACAAGCCTCAGACACGTGGAACATGCACACGATTGTACCTTTGGCAGGCTTGCAGTTTCTTCGTGCTCGTGAAGGAAGCAAAAGTAATTACAAGCTTGCCAAAGATGCCCCCGCGTGCACACCGCAAATGTTTGAGGCTCGTTGGCATTGGTAGTTCCTGTTTGTCGCTTTAGTGGGGCTCGGGCATAAGGAGATAAAAATTTGAAGCATGCAGAATGCTGTATGACACACACGAAGCATCATTGCTAGTGCGAACTTGCAACTGCCACCAACTTCCAACTCGCGCAGCTACCTGTAGCGGGAGTGGTCGTCACTTTGACATACAATGCCAGTACTTTGGCGCTCTACTTAAAAGCATGTATGACAAACAATTTCGAGATTTAAAAAAAAAATAATGTTGGGAATAAGTTATTTCTGAAAGAACACGGCTGAAACCAAGCTTTGGGTTAAAACTGCTCGTGCCACGTTGCACGAGGTACACCTAAAATAAACAAACAACATAGAATAACGCGTCAAAATTGTTTCAAGGTCCTTTGTAAGCGGCACAAGTGTAAGACTCGCAACTGACGATCGGGTTTTTGTGCTACTTGCGAAGAATGGCACACTACTCCGTTGTGAATGTGAAGAGTGCAGAGTTCCATTCGGTGCCGCCGACAGATGCTAAAAAGTTGTCAACGTCATACGGGATTCAGCTGATGCGAGAGGCAAGGCTATTCGGTCTTTGTTGAGCCTTCATTATATGATACCGATCCTACGAAATGCATTACTCTACACACGGGAAAGACCGTCTACTCATTCCCTAAATTAAAACTTGGAGAGTTCAAGCCCGGCCCATCGTTGCAGCACCCCTTTCGAGCACAAGGCAAGCCCAGGGCTGCCCAAGCTTTGCTTTCTCAAACATTCCACACCAAATAAACAACACGAAGCTAAAGGAAAGGCACTGGAACACTGAACAGACTCCCACCTGTAAAGCAGGTTGACAAACTCCCGAAACGAAAACAGTTGCATGTCAGAGACGCTTGCCTCTTCAAGTACGCTAAGCCGAGCTTCTTCAAGTACACTAAGCCTCCTCCCACCGACTTTGTTCCCCAGACCCCGCTAGACTCGAGGACACATGTCCGTAGCAGCGCACCGAAAAGAGCCCAGGGTCGTGCGCGGCTTGAAAGCTGCCAACTTTCATTGTACGGCCGTCGGCGTAGCCAAGGCGGCCTCCAGCTGTTCGCGCAAACTCGGAGCCCCTAGCACGCTGCCGCTAGGAACCGACCCCACGACTACGTTGCGCGTCAGATCAACCGTGTGTGGCCCACTACACGAGGATTAGACAGCCTAACAAGTCCCGCAACTGGCGAGCACTGGTCACCGCCATCCGTAACCAAACCGACCGGCATCTGCTCGAAGGGGCACGGCCCACAACCACAGTGTCGGCTCGCGAAGGCCGGCGGTGCCCGGCACAGGGGGACCGCCACGGCAGTGCTCCTCAAAGACCCTAAGGCTGTCCTAAGGCTGTCCTAGGGTTGTACTGGGGCTGCCCTAGGGCTGTCCCAAGGCTGTCCCAGGACAGCAGCGGGTTCTCAGCTGCCACTCGCAGAGTGTGTGGCCTCGGCACTGGTGGGGACTCTTTCCTTGAGGGCCCTGAATGAGCGCAGCACCTTCTTGCGCATCACCGGTGACGAAGGGGGCGTGCCCGGCAGAGACCGCTCCTGCACGCAAGAGGCAAATGTCCCAGGAAAATTAAGGCGCAGTGTTCTAACGCAAAATGCATCATGGTGCATGCCCGTGACGTCGATTCTTCCGTCCCGCGCGTGAAAATGCGGGGTGCAAAGCTGGCGCAGAGCGGAAAGATTGACGTTGCGGCCGTACCATGTTGACTCAGTTTTGGTTGGAAGCTGCAAATAAGGATGACATTTCTCACCCTGTAGGGCGATCTATACATCTTTTTAATTGAAGTTTTACATTAAGGCTAGACTATAATGAGGACAAGCGTCAATCTAACTACGTTATGCACCCCCCCCCCCAAAAAAAAAAAAAGTTATTAAAACAATTTAGTTAATTAGCTATCTAATAAACCCATTTTGCCTCTTTCCAAGTGGTTCCCATGGCCACCAACTTAGCCCCAGGGCTAAAAAGTCACTAATGCAAGTTCCCTTTTTTTATATTCTAGCTCCCCTAAGAAAAAACACAAAAAATAAACACCCTGTAATGCAATACTCAAAATCTACCTTTTTTGAGAAAAAAGTAGGAACTTTCTAGGCCACATACTTCCTTAAAAGTTGCAGACGCGGAAGTCGTCCGAGACCGGTGTCGGTTCGACGGCGCCGTGGCACTGGCACGCTGCCACTTCGCACTAAGTTTGCACGGTGCCAGCCGACCGGGCACAATACTGGCTGACGACCGTGCCAGTTCGACGCTGCCTCGGGACGGCCGCCCTGCCAGAATGCTAGCGTGCCTCACCTGTGGCCCCGGGCGTACCAGGACGCTGGGCAGGGCATCCCCGGGCAACAGCTTGCGCAGGGAGGCCTCCAGCCGAAGCCACGAGGGGTCCGCTTCCGCGGGGGGCTCCCGGGCACAGCACCTGCGTGGCCCCGTTCGTCCCTTCGCTCATTTCATGTGCTCACAGACAGTTGTCGCCTTCAGAGGGCACTAAAGTGGGCTTTGAGGTCGTCTTTCACGGCGGTAGCTGTTAGTGCCTCTTTCGGGCGAAATACGACGGGGTCCGTACACAAAAACTCACGTGACCGCGGGGAGAGGGTGATCATGCCGCCAGGCCATCACTCCCTCCCCGTCGTCGTCGCCCCTCGCACAACCGCGTAATCTATTAGGAGACATGTAACGCTCCCTCCTTCCCCTCTCCCCCCTCTCTCTCTCTCTGACCCTTCACCACCGCCACTTCGGGATTCTGGAAGCTTCTCTGGCACATTTCCACTGCGCTCGCTCGATACTCCCCACCCCCCGCCACAGACGTAGCCATTCGTCGCAGTTCTCCGTCCAAGGAGCGGGAACAACTACAGTCACTGAATGTTCCCAGAGCACCGAAACTCCCAGGCTCTAGACGCCAGGCAACTCAACCTTTTTTTTTTTTTTTTTTTTTTTTTTACTGTGGTAACCATGAGTATTTAGAAAGCATGCTTTCGTCTAAAAACAAACAGAAAAATCTCTTTTTATAGAATTTTTTATTGGAGATTAGTACAGAATGACAGGACCGTGATGTTTTCATAAACGTTTATTTTAGAATGTTTCGCGGCACAATTAATATTGTTTTTATAGAGTCGTGTCTCACCGGCAATTTCGGGTATAGCGTCCCGACCTAAAGCGTCCTAACTTCGGCGGTAATTTGCGGCGTATCCGCTCGGATGACGGGGGTTGGCAGCCCTTGAATCCCTTCCGCCGTACATATTGCAGGGCCAAAATGGCCGATCAAAAATAAACTTAAACAGTAACAGCGGATGCTATCGAATGCGATACTCTGGCAACATAGAGTGACTCTAGGAACAACAAGTGCATTGCGCTGAGCAGAGCAGATGGAGTGCCGCAGCAACAGCATGTAAGTGCCTTTTTGCATATCTCCATACGAAAGGAAATATCTGAAGGCATATTGACTAAAACCAACTCTCCTAAACCAATCTTTCAACAACGCAACAGCTGCCGCTGTGAATCGCAGCACTTTGTGCTGTCGTAGAAATTTTTTGATGCAAACTCGATCGTGCTCTAAGCATCCAAGAAAAGCAAAAATTATGATTACGCATAGCCTCTTGTCTTCTTAGAAATGTAACCAAACATCACTACATACACCCTTTTTCCGAGATCTATCTCAGAAAAAAAGGGCATTTTAAAATGTTTGGTTGCATCCTTTCGAGGGGGGAAGGCCATACACAATTGTAATTAATTTTCTAGGATGCTAAGGTAGGCCGAGTTTGGAGCATAAGAAGGCAATCTCAAAAACTACTTTACTGCCCCTTTAATAATGATGACCAACACAGATTAGAGATTAGCAAAGAACAACTCAAATGCCATGAAATCCAAGTTAAAAGTGTCAATGTTCACTGCAACGAGGGCCTATGGGCCATTTGAGAATCGTAACCGGCGAGTTGATTGGTTCCAGAACCTCTCGCCTAGACTTTCTATTGAAAAAGCTAGGTGAAAAAAGAAAGCAAGCAAGCGCACCGTTAGACTCCTGAACTGCAAGATAATTATGATCTGGAGGTGGGGAACTTCCCAGACTCAAGTTTGTGTTAAAGGGGCACTGACACCCCAAAGGTTGTATTTTTTTTTGTTGTCTCCGTAGACAAGCAAAAAAATAATACGTGCAAATTTTTCCACACGCGCATTTTTATCTACTGGGTGATTCAAGGAGCGGCCAGGCTCTTTAAATCAACCGCAAAATTCAGTTTCTTAACCTATCGCACTACGACTTTGTGCAGCATCGCCCAGAGATGGTGCATCTGAGGAAAAAGTAAAGAAAGAAAAAGGCTTAGCTTCTATGAAAATGCAGCGAAGCCACCGTTCTTCAAACACTACGGCACCATTTCGCACGGGAGACAAGAGATGGCGCAAGCGGTTGTGACGCCAACTGCCGCCAACGAACGAGCTTTCTGCTTACCTTGGTCATGAACACACAAATATGTTCATTGGAGTATTTATGCGTTTTTTCGTTCGTGCCAGCGGCAACTGCATTTCTTTTTTTTTTTTTTAGGTGGAGTGGAGACAGACAGAGGCACGGGAGGAGGCTTCACGGAGGTGATGCATCCAAATGGATATGTCGTTGGCCCTAATGAGGGCCGCTTGGCACAGTTCAGTCTTCGAGACGCGTGTAAAAAAATACAAACAAAACAAAAAAAAAACGATGAGAGGCTTCAGAACACATACGCACGCACGTACACGCGCGCACACACACACACACAAAAAAAAAAAGAAAGAACTGGGCAGCACATTTAGCGGAGCTCGATGTGTCCTCCACGGAGGTCGACGCAACAACGCAGCCGGCAAAGGCCCTCCTCAAAGGCTGCGCCCCGCATCCTGTCAGATATCAACGGGAAGGCCCTCTCAATGCGAGCCTTCAGGTCGGCCATGGTGGTGATGCGGCCGATGTACACCTTGGACCTAATAAAACCCCAAACGAAAAAATTACAGATCGTCAGATTGGGGGAGCGTGGTGGCCACGGCATAGTGGAGGATGCCCTGCCCATCCACCGGCCTGGAAATGAGCTGTCCAGCCAGGCGCGCACTGTGGACGCGTAGTGCGGAGGCGCCCCATCCAGCTGAAATATGCAGTTTTCTTTCTCCATGTGCAGCTGCTCCAGTTCGGGAAGGAACTCTTCCTGGAGCATTTGAAGATAAAACTCCAGTCACTGAGCGATCAAAAAAAAAAAAAAAAAAAAAAGCACGATTATCTTTTCTCTCCAAATCCTGCACCATAGTGTAGGAAGGCTTTGAGGAAATAAGCGCAGTAGCTGAGTTTGAGACATTTTTTTCCCCTCTTTTTTTCTTCGACCAAGTTTTCCAGCTTTTACCACAGTCTTGGGTATTCTACATCATGACCATACTGTAGTCTTTGGCATGTGGGCAGCTTCCTCCTGGTGCCAGTGGGGGTTTTCCTCACTCCAATATCGGAAATTGTGCTTGTTCACATGGCCATCGAGGTGGAAAATTGCCTCGTCGCTGAACATAAGAAACTGGCGATGGCTTGGGTCAGCTGCGATTCGGGCTAGCTCATCTTGAGAAAATGCGAGGCGCTTCGCCTTGTCAGTTTCTGAGAACTCTTGCAGGATCTGCATCTTGTATGGAAACAAGCGAGCGCAGGGCGACAGACTGGTCCGTTCCTTGTCGCGTACATCTCCATTCTCTTCGAAGCGCCTCACCCAGCGCAGGATGGCAGGTGAGCTTGGAGGCCGTCGCCTGAACTCTGTTCGGAAGCATCGGCGGACTTCTTTCGTCCTATGGCACTCCCCGTACCAAAGTAAAACCTTAAGGGACGACGCGGGTCCTAAAAATGCAAAAAATCGTGAAAAACTTCATTTTTCAGAAATCCTGTATTTGGGTACCTTACATATCCAAGCACCTCTCTCCAAAATATTATAGCGTAATTCAAACTCAAAGTATAAAAAAAACAATAATTACGTCGAACGCGCCCAAAACCTCCCCGAAAGAGAAAACCGACGTCGAAACGCGCCCATTCGCGGTCATTTTGGTCTCGTTCGAAAGCTTGCTTCTTTGTCTACATTTTTGGTGCCATTAAAAATGGCATTCGCCCGGGGAAAGCACAGAATACCGCGTTTCCCTAGAGAAAGAAACCGAGCTACCGACTGGCTAAGAAGCGCGGGCCGCAGTGAGTGCTGTCGCTATTGGCCGAAGCGCATGCCTCCTCTCCTGAAATATGTGATTCTCCTCTCCCTCCTCTCTTTCCTCGTGGCGCGGAAGGAGTTGGGAGCAGTCGACATCGTTGTTTGTAGTCTGCTAGCGGTTGCGTTTTGGCTTCAAGCACATTATTTTTCGCCGTTCGCCTGGTTCACCTGCTTTGTTTAGCTCGGCGTCTTTAGGAGACATTGGTAGTAATCGCGATGCCTAGCGTGAAGCTTTCAACGCAGCGTGCGTACGGCAAACGGAAGCGTTGGGCACAAAACAAGAGGACTGTGCTCGCATCGCCAGCCGCGTTGCTTGCGGCGGACATGCAGCAAGTTCAGCTGCCAGCAGCTACATCGTCTTCCGAGGTGCCCGCCCCTGATGTGAGCAATGAAGAAGACGACGGCTTCGGCCCTGGTGCGTCACGGCTCGACTCGCATTTCTACACGGCAAGCGAAAATGCTCAACGTGCGGCGCAGGCTGACGAGATGAAGCAGGATTTGGCCACGAAGTCTGCCACACAAGGGAAGTTTGACATCCTCAATGTCACTGTCGAGGATAAAGAGACAGATTTCGGCACGCAGTTCGTGATCGTGGATTTGAACGTGTTGAACATGTTCTTCGCGACCACCAAATGTGAGCAGTGCGGAATGGCCGCGCCCGTTCACAAGCTGGTGCTTTGAAAACGTCCCCACGCCCCCTAAAAAAACCCTTCTGAGGGCTAACTAATTGTTGCATCTGGGGCTGCTTTCCCTACCCGTGTCTTTCCCTTAGAATGAAATTCAAACCAAAGGCATTCCACCCATCTAAAGCTTCAATGTTGTTAGTTATGCATACACGAATTTCAAAGTCGATTTTCTCAGCTTTTGTTTTTTTCAGCCTCTTCTCCGGCCAGGAAGGCTTTTTGATTCACTTGCGGTCAACTGATTTTCATAAACTTGGTACTATTTTCTTTGGAATGAACTAGACTGCAAGCTAAAGCTATTTTTATTATGATATTTTGCGGTATATAAAACTGGCATTTCATTATTAGACATTGTTATAGCCGCTATTGTATGTCTTCTATTCACTTTAATTTTTTTACAATATTATACGGTGCTAAAGAAATGAAAATAGCTTTAGCTTGTATGGCATTTCTTTAGGAAGCAATTGATACCTTTTTTTCATTAAAATTTTAATAAGAAGGTTTTTTAAAACCCTTCCTGATTTTAGCTAATGAATATTTCATTTTGTTCATAACTTTTGACAAAGAAGAGATATCTGAAATCTAATTCCAGTTATGAAATCGACACAATAAACTGCATGCCTATGCAAAAATTCATTGAGATAGGCCAATAAACAAAAAAATATCTTTTGAGAACACCCTTCCTTCCTTAACTCGTTCGCTGGGAGTTATAAATGCACCATGCCGACGTCAAACGTAAGAAGAAAGCGCGGATAACAGTCGCAGAACCAAAGACAGACGCGGTAGTAAAAAGGAACTACTGATCTCTATGTCTATTTGCTGGATCGCGTTTGACCAGCTCCGCCTATGGACGGGAATGCGTCCATTTTCTTTATGAAAGTCTCATCTTTGAGGACCCGGCGAAAGTTCTACGAAAGCGCAGCACCGGGGGAAAGCAGCGCAGCTCACATCGAAAGCAGACTCCGTACCGGCATCTGCTTTCGATGCTTCTTTCAATGTGACTATCGATGCGTGCTGTGCTGCTTTTCCCCGGTGCTGCGATTTCGTGAAACTTTCACCAGGTCCTCAAAGATTGGGCGATCGTTCACGCTGGGGTTCAAAAATATATTTCGTCAAACAATTTCAATGAAGCACGAAATATCACCCACGCTATTTTGATGACAGCCTGCCACCAGAACTGCCACAACGCTGTCTGCCATGGATGGATGATAGTGGCTGCAGCAGCTTACATTGGATAGAGGTAATATAACTCTACCAAAAAGATGGCCGCCAGTGGCCGCCTTCGCGGAGCGGGCAGACGCGATCCAGCAATTGTCATTGAGATCAGTGAAAGGAACTGCAAAACAGACGACATCAGTACCACGAAAAAAAAAAGGCAAAATATCCCGACAAACCATTTTTTTAATAGATTATGGGTCTATTCAATATGTTTTATTAGTAAGGATGATAAAAAACTGCATTGGCAACTAATATCAGAAAAGCTCGCGCCGTTTTTGAGTCAAAAGATTGCCTGCTAAAGACGCCGGCTCTCGGCGCTGTGTGCTCGTTCGTTGGCGGCAGTTGGCGTCGTGACCGCTTGCGCCATCTCTTGTCTCCGGTGCGAAACGGCGCCGTATTGTTTGAAGACTGGTGGCTTCGCTGCATTTCCATAGGAGCTAAGCCTTTTTCTTTCTTTACTTTTTTTTTCAGGTAAGTTTGCTCTCTTTGCAAATTTTACAAAAAAAATGCACCATCTGTGGGCAATGCTGCACAAAGTGGTAGCACAATAGGTTAAGAAACCAAATTTTGCGGTCGATTTAAAGAGCCTGGCCGCTCCTTGAATCATTCAGTATTGTGCCCTTCTCTCCCTCTTCTTACCTCCTCGCTTCTTTTAGAAGTTTTGTAAGCGACATTTCTGTAATATTTAATTACTGCATTCGTAAGACATGTTTTTGGTTTCTTTTTAACGCAAGTGCGAGTGATGCTGCCCCTTGGCTTTTTATCCTCCCTCGTAAAACGTGGTGGCACTCGGCACATGCACCGATAATGATCGATGAGTCGGGGAATTGGACAAAGTTCTCTTTTCTAGGTGCCCGACGACCTCTCAGACTTCCAAAAGGAAATCGTAAAACGATCAGAACAACTGGGTTTGGTGTCTGTGTACCGTAGTTTCAGCTGTTACTCCGCCGGGGCAGCCTTTCACGCAGAACCAGTGCAACGTGGCCCCTTACGTCGCTTGCAAAAGTCCGCTGAACGCCCTCTTCAACCTCACACCGTTTCAAAGACATTGAGATTGCTGAAAGGGCCCTAAAAGAACATTAAACTTGAAAGTGAAGCGTCGTCTGCTCATAGCAATAGGCGGCATGCACGGAGGAGAGCGGTTGATCACGGGAGCAGGCAAAAACTACACTTCGGTTCGAGACGGGGAGGCGCAACAGAAACTCGAGTTGCAGGACCACTGAATCATTGACGTCACTAACTTCGAATTCGGCTTTGGGCAATTGTTTTTTTACTCCACAAATACTGAGTTCCCAAGTTTCGAATTTTGAGGGTAATGTCTAGGCATTGCATTCTGTCATTCCGGATAACAAAAAAAATATGATTGCAACCTGTCACGACCCTTTATAGGATACACAAATCAGGTAAGTTCCTTTAGGATGTGCAAATGTATGGACCATGCTCTTACTGGTGGTTTTCTGAGACATTTGCTGAAATTTGACTCTTAGACACGGAACATCACGACATTTTAGCACTTCCTCGTTCGGCAGGAACTGAACCCAGCCTCAGGGGGATGGTTTCGGCAGCAAGTCACCATAACAGTAAAACAGTGTGTTCATCACAATCTACCTTAGTGCTAACTTTTTCTTGCATGAGCTAACTATTTTGTGAACAAATTTTTACAGGATTTTCGTGGTTCCACCTCACCTCCTCTCCGCAATCAGTTATCCCAGTCTGAGCACTTTCTAAACTTGCGCGGTTGCACCTCTGCTTTGATCAGCATTTTGCATAGTGCATTTACTCGAGTAAATCACACGCCGTTTATGAACAAACCTGCGCGTCCCTTTCTTACAAAGCATGTGAATAGCCAATCGCTGCAACTGACTGAAGGAGCCCGGCAACTTGCGGGACCGAAGGTAACCTCCTCGCACAAAAATGTGATCCGTGCAAATTGCATCTTTCGTCAAGAATCGTTTTCTCGGCATTGTTATTCACTGTCTCTTACGTAGAAAGCAAATATGGGCTGCATTATACTCAGCAGAAAGGTAGTCGCACAGGCCTTGTTCATAACTCTGGTAACTCCAACGACAGCAACTATCAACTCCCAACAAACTGTCGGAAATTAAAGAGCTAACACCGGTCTCACCTAAGAAGGACTCCGGAGGCGTGACCACTTGGGCTGCTGTGCTCGGTGCCAGAGGCGGCACACTCTGGCCCACCGGCTGCCAGATTGTCTGAGAGGGACAAAGCACAGGATCAGCAATGAGGCCGCCCTCTCCGCTACACTGAGCAGTGCCGGAGCTTGGTAAAGCAATTTGAGTAAAACCCAATATCCTTCCAATGTCTATGAAGAAAAAACCTAAGTACCATATTTCCAGGTCTATAAGTCTCACTTCCATATAAATCGCATCCCCCCATGATGGCAGTTTTCAGAAAAAAAGTTAGTATACACAGTCTGCCCGGTGTTATCACTCGGGTATTTCGAATTACCGTATTTGCACGAATATAATGAGAGTTTTTGTTCGAAATTACGTGCTCCAAAACGCACCTCGCATTATATTCGGAATCGAGTTCAGCCACGAGGCGTGCGAGTCTGGAGAAAGCCAGAGGAGAAAGCCATCCCTCCGGCTCAATGCAAAAGATCCGGTGAGAAAAGAAGTGGGGGTGTGGAAGGGAATTTATTAGCTATTGGGTCACGTGAAGGGGCGAATAGAAAACATAAAAAAGCATTTCTATCGCTTTTGTGTTTGTACAACGCACACACGCCGCAGAAACTCAGCGCGCGCGCGCCATGCGGGCACTGGCCAATTCAAGCCAAGCCAAGCCAAGTCAAGTCAACACAAGCCAAGCTAAGACTGGCCAAGACCACCAACCGCGTTTGCCGCGTTTACACAATCGTGTAACACGAGGCATTTGTTTATGCAGAGGGACCAGAACAAGAAGTGTGATGTGTATCGGGTTCAGCAGTCTTTTTTCTGCCTGCACATTGTTTAGTTTCTGCTCCAGAGTGATCTGGTGTTTGTGTGTTGGTGCTTCTGCTTGGTGCCTTGTTTGGATCGTGGGCTGCCGAGGAGCTCGCAGGGAAGAAAAAGAAACTACCAGACAAGCAGGTGCCGTGCTGCTGCTTATCTGCGTAGTCGCCAAGTTGGATTGTAAACGGAAGGACCTGAGCAGTGAGGATGAGCGCAGTCAAAACATAAACTGATATTTCTTCTATTTCCATTGACTTTTCACATCTGCTATGCCCCTGAGTGCAAGAAACTGACGCCGCCTCGGTTCGCAGGTTATAATAGTAATAATATCTTTTTTTTCTTTTTGAGGGCATCAAAACCTGCCCTCGCGTTATATTCGTGGTCACGTTATATTCATGCAAATACGGTAGTGTTGAAATCGAACAGTCCAAACATCCCCTTGAAAATCGCATGTAATAGTATAGAAGCATTTGTTTTTTTTGTATCGAACTCCCATGGCAGGGACACTGGATATATCTGGACAAAGCTTGGCCGCCCGTCGCTTTTCGCTTTTCCTACAATTCGGCTGTGCCGCGATTGTGTCGGTGGCGAGCAAACAGCTCCTGTCGGTTGCGTGGCTGGCAGACCGCGAAGCCAGCATACACGCTCGGGCAGACGCAGCAGTGAAAGAGCAGTTGTGGGAAAGAGGAGGGACAAGGGCAACCGTCAAAAAAAAATGGGGAGTGGCAAAAGCAAGGGGAAAGGCATGTGCGCAAACACGCTCGCGGAGGGCAGGGAGTGCTTGCTGTTGGAACGGTTGCATGCACTATTTCCTGGAACACTGCTGTCCCTGGGTGACTCCTTAACCCCAAAATAAAATAAACAAAAAAAAAACATTCAGCAAGTTGATGTGTTTACAACAATGGTTGTGCACTCGCATTTGGAACGCCTTCTTTATCTTTCTTTACTTTTTGCTTTTGCAGTTATTGGTTTGCCATTTTTATTTTGCCTTTCTTTTTTTGTTGCCGGACTTCGTGAGATTTTTTTTTTGCTTGCCTAATTTGTTTCTATAAAAAGTTTTTTCGTGTTTCTGTTTTCGCGTCTTGTTTTTTTTTTTCTTTTTTTTGAATTATTTACGTGTTTTGTCACTTGTGCTGTGTAAAGGTCGCGGCCAGGCGTGCGCTTAAGGGTGGCGCTGTTCGCAGTGTCTGCCAACTACGCTCTACTGTATTTAGTGGCTCTTGGAATCTCCATTTGGTGAGCTCCCATTTTTTTCCCAACCTTCGTTATTAGCAGAGACGCACAGAAATTTCAACTGTAGCTAAAGTTAACATACTTTAGTATATCAAATTATCAATGTCCTACTATTTTACTAACCCCTTTAAATTCAATATATCCGGGTTCGACTGCGTGCTGTAGCATGTTGTACAGCCAGCGCGACGGAGCTGCTTTGGAAAGCCAGCATGGGTATTATGATCGCATCATACGTGCAAGCGAAAGCAAGTTTCAATATTCTTGTCATCCAATCAACCGAGTAATAAAACCCGCATAGCAAATTCCCGCAGTTAGGGTCCATACTTATAGAGAAAAAAAAAATGCATTTAGGTTGCACCATTGCAAAAAGACACACCGACTGAAATTTCGAAAAATATGGTACGTCAGTGCCCCATGTTGGGAACCAATATGCAACACCGAAATGATGGCAGCCAACTTTGATGGTACCCGGGCACCAACTGCCGTCGTGCGTAGCCTTTTACGTGCCCGCAGAACCTACTTGACTTTTCTCTTCGTTCCTCGTATTACATACTGCCGACAAGCGCCACGTCCCAACAAATAGTAGTGGTAATAGTAGTACGATACAATCCCAATAATTCAAACACCCTCCATTTGAACCCGCAGATAATTCGAACTAGCGTGCAGGTTCCGTCAGAGTCTGAAGTATTTTGAATGGGAGAAATTTTGCGGTAATTCCAACGCACGAAAAATGTGCAATGGCTAATTTGAACAGCGCACTGCCGTACGCGGCTACGTTAGTCGCGCTACCTATCGCCAGATGGCACCAGTGGCCGCACGACTCAAAGAGTTTAGCTGGTTTCGCCGCATCTATCCATCCATTCGTTGCGGCTCTGTGCCTCCTCCCTGCACAGCTGCACAATTTTGTGCTCGTTCCGTTTAGCCCATTTAGCCCCGATTGTCCTTTTTTCTCTTTGCTGTCCCGTTAGCATCAGAAGTCGAAGCTTCTGTGTTATGTCACAGGCAGTGCTAGGTTATGTTCTGCACTACACTGCTGTTTCATGCCGTCGTCGTTGGGCGTGAAGTTAAAGGGCACATGCAAAGAAAGAAAACATTTTTTTTAAGCAGTTTAGATGGAAAAAGGATGTCATAAAACAATATTAAAACGAAGAAAGAAAATGTTTAGAGCTATATTTACGGCGCTATACAAATTTGTAGTTGGCGCGCGCGGGCGCCGCGGAAAAGTGGCCCTTATTTATCACGTGACTGGCCCTTATTTATCACGTGGTGCTTGCGCTCTTTCGGAAGCTTCGTATGGCGTCTAAAAGTAACTTATTCATCTTTGTTTGAACTATAAGAAAAAACTAAGATTAATAGGTAACTTTCAGAGCCCAAAAGAAACTCCTGAAAAAGCGCAAGCAGACATGATAGACCTGTGCGCCGGTCAGACGACGGCGGCGGCGCCCTGAAGCAGACGAACTTGTGCGGCGGCGGTGACGGCGGCATGGAGAAACGCGTTGAAGCGGCATTCATATAATGCTCAGCGTGCGGCGGTGGGGTGACTCTGCAGCGGTAATGACGCAGCGCGGCGGCGCGGGGGCCTACCACGTGACCAGCGGCGGCTCCCGCGGGCGCCAACTACAAATTCGTATAGCGCTATAAATATATAGCTCTAAAATGTTTTTCTTCGTTGTAAAATCGTTTTATGACATCCTTTTTCCATCTAAGCTGTTTAAAAAAAATGTTTTTTTCCTTTGAATGTGTCCTTTAACACCGGTGGCTTTTAAATCAGTTTTCGTGGAACAAGTACTCGCGCTAGAAAAACAAATTTTAAAAATAGCTTGTGGTTGTTGTTTCGTTTTACGTTCTTTTACGAAGGGCACACATGGACAACCTTTCGTGCCGGAGTCAGGCTGAAGACTGACGTCTCGTTTATTAAATCTAAAACGAAATAAAAGAAAGGCGCCTCTGGTACGGGGCGCTCAGGTTACGCGCGAAGCGGACGAACGGATGTTTAGATCTCGGGCTGCGCGCGAACGGTTCTTCTCGGTCGCCTTGGACTTTGGAGCTCGCTAGCGTCGGCGCGTCGGCGACCTCCATAACATCCCTCTTTCTAAGGGAGCTTCGAAGAAGTGCTGAAACGGTCTGGCTCTTTTAGACATCAGCCGTGCCGAGAATGTTTGTGGGAGGTGTCGGCACACATTTCTTCGGGCCTCGTGGTTGTTTCGGGGAACTCTTCGATGCCTTGTTTATCTTGTTGATCGGGGAAAGGAATTAAATGCGTGTGATTTCTTCGGATCTCTTGACCCTCGGACGTTATCCAGTAAGATCGTGGTGTATGGGCCTTGTTCTGAACAACTCCGGTTCGCTTGAGGTCAATGACCCAAACTCGCTGTCCAGAGCCAAGTGGATCGAGTTGACGCACTCCGTGTCGCCGGTCGAAGTATTGCTTTTGTCGGTTCCTGTTTTCTTGCTCATAGCGACGCAGTTCTTTTTGGTCGGGTAACTTTGGTTCCAGGAGCTGAGTAGTGATCGGTACGGTTGTACGCATCCTTCTCCCCATGAGAAGTTCTGTCGGACTGTATCCGTTGGGCAGAGGCGTTGAACGGTAGATCATGAGTGTCTCGTACAGATCTTCTGTTTTGCTGAGTGATCTCTTTATGATCTTCACCGCAGCCTCCGCCATCCCATTGCTCTGCGCGTAGCGAGGGCTTGATGTGATGTGCTTAAATCCGTAGGTTTGTGAGAACTTGGTGAATGCTGAACCTGTGGTTCCCGCAAACTGAGGACCATTATCAGACACCACTACTTCTGGGGTGCCATGCCTCGCAAATATCGATTTGCAGTGCATTATTACGCACGCTGCTGTGAGGTTTTCCAGTCGGGCGATTTCGGGGTAGCGAGAGTAGTAGTCGACGACGACCAGCCACCATTTCCCGTGAATGAAGAAGAGGTCCATCGCCACTCTCTCCCACGGTCGACTAGGAAACTCTGACGGGATGAGGGGGAGCTTTCGGTTCTGGCCAGTTTTAATGCATTTTTCGCAGTTCTTGACCAGGCGCTCGATATGATCGTTTATCCTCGGCCACCATACCGATACATTTGCCCGTGCTTTGCATTTGCCTATGCCCATGTGTCCTTCATGAAGTTGTTGCAGGATATGTGGACGGCAGGATTCTGGTACCACTATTCTAGAACCATTCATGAGAAGGCTGTTTTGCACGGCAATGTGATGACGGTACTCGTAGTACTCTTTGAGGTCTGTTCCGAGATCTCGACGATTTGGCCAACCTTTGTGGCTGTAGCTGGCGAGTCTTTGGCAAACATGGTCTTTGTTTTGTTCTGCCGTTATCCATTGGAGACTCGTTTGCGTTGCTGGTAGGGACGTCTCTATGTGTCGAATGAAGCAATCGATTTCTTCTTGCATCTCTCTGTCTTGCCGCTGTGGCAGAGGGCTTCTTGACAACGAGTCAGCTGCTTGGAGTTCCTTTCCCGGAACGTGGACAGCTTCGAATGAGTAGCGCATTAAATGCATGCGCAGTCTCTGAAGCCGTGGGGTTAGGTCGTCCAATGACTTTGATCCGAACAGAGAAATGAGTGGTTTGTGGTCGGTTTCCAGTACAAAGTGCGTTCCCACGATGTAATCTCGGAATTTTTCGCATGCCCACGTGAGTGCCAAACCTTCTTTTTCGATTTGGGCGTACCTCTTCTCTGTTTCGGTGAGTGTTCTGGACGCATAGGCGATGACGCGATATGATCCATCCTCCTGCTCTTGACGCAGCACTGCTCCCAGGCCGTAGGATGACGCATCTGCCGATACAATCGATCGCTTGTTGGCGTCGTAAATTCCGAGAACGGGGCAGGTTGAGAGGATTTCCTTCCATTTGGTGAAGGCTTTCTGCTGAGGATGATCCCACGCGAAGTCCACTTTGGAACTGAGCAGTGACGATAGTGGATGCAGTAGGTCAGACAGGTGTGGCACGAATCGTCCTAGGTATGTCGCCATACCCATGATGCGCATGACTTCTTGCTTTGAAGTCGGTATGGGCATCTGTTTCACTGCGTTGACGATTGTCTCGTCTGGACGGACACCATCGCTGTCTACTTGATGACCTAGGAACTTGACACTTGTCACTCGAAAGACGCATTTATCCTCGTTGAGCGTGAGTCCTGCTGATGAGAGTCTCTTGAGGACTTCTCGCAGACGTTGCTCGTGCTGCTCGGACGATGACGCCCATATCAAGATATCGTCCATGTGGCAAAGTACTCCTTCCATTCCTTGGAGGAGTTGTGTGATACGTCTCTGGAAGTGTTCCGGTGCTGACGTGATTCCGAATGGTAGGCGATTAAAACAATATCTTCCAAACGGAGTGATGAATGTCGTCAGGAGTCGTGACTTCTCGTCTAAAGGGATCTGCCAGAACCCAGAATTCGCGTCCAGCTTTGAGAAGATCTTGGCTCCCGCTAGCCTTCCCAGCGTGTGCTCCACTGATGGGATAGGGTGATATTCGCGCTGAATGTGTTTGTTCAGTTGTGTGAGATCAACACAAATGCGAATTTTGCCAGAAGGTTTGGGGACGATGACCATCGGCGCGCACCATTCAGTAGGTTCTTCTACTGGAAATATGACACCTTGCGACTGCATGTTTTCTAGCTCTTTCTGCGTTTCTCGATACAGCGAAAGCGGTACTCTTCTCGGTGATGCGATAGCAAACGGCGTCGCGTTAGGTTTCAGCTTGAGAACGTGAGCACCTTCGAGAGATCCTTGAAACAGGTGAGAGAACTCTTTCTTCGGTTCGCAAGCTTTGTTCGCACTCATGCAGATTTGAGGGCAAAGCCGAAATTTTTCGATAGCTGGCTTACCCAAGAGGTTTGCGAAGTCCTTTCACGATGTAAACTTCTTCGAGTGCTTGTTGCCCACGGCAGTTGAGCTTCATCCAAGCTGATCCCATGACTTTAAGGGGTCGTCCGTCTGGACCATGAAGTCGGCGTTGGGGCTCGGAGAGCTTGTGGCACTTTGCGAAGACCTTTTGAAAGATGGCAGCTGGTAACACCGTTTCGTCTGCTCCAGTGTCTAATCGGAAAACAACAGGAGTTTCGTCGACGAATATCTCGATGTCCCATTTTGCTGTTTGAGGAGAAGCTGCAGCTCCTACGAATCCTTGTTCGTGTACGAGGGAGTTCACGGTAGTTGAAGATTTGCAGACTGTTGCAAAATGTCCCTTTTTCTTACACCTGTTGCAGCCTGCGTTCTTCGCCGGACACAAACTCCTCGGGTGAGCTTCTCGACCACACCAACGGCACGGTTTGCCTTTTGGTTTGGGTGTCGCGGTCTTCTTAGTAGGAGTTCGAACATTTGAACGTTCAATTCCTCGCTGAGCAGGTCCTGCTGCTGTCCCAGTTTTGGCTGCTATACGGTCAACGTTGGCATCCTTTTCTTTTGTCGGTCGGAGTTCCACTTGTTGCTTCTTAATCACTTCCGATTGTCGCGCAGCAGCGATGGCCTTCTGGAGGTCCAGATCAGGATCCAGTTGAAGTTTTTCTGAGGTCCTGCTGTCCCGAAGACCAACAATCAGCCTGTCGCGGATCAATTCTTCCTTCAGTGGTCCATAGTTGCACGTAGTGGCTAATCCATGGAGAGCAGTGACGTACTCCTCGACGGTTTCCGTCTCCAGTTGCGATCTTGTGTTGAACATGGCTCTCTCATACACCACGTTTCGACGAGGAATGAAGTAACGTTCGAAGTTCTCCATCACCTTCTGGAAATCTTGGGCCTCGGTGTCGGACAGCTTGAAGGTCTGTAAGACGTCTTCCGCTTGTGGTCCCATGATGTAAATGAGAGCGTCGACTTGGTGTGATGATGGTTGAGATGCCAGTCCTGATGCACTGTGGAAGCGCTTGAATCTCTTCTTCCACGCCGGCCATTCGTTAGGTGTTGTAAAACTGAAGGCTTCGGGTGGCGAGATGCGAAAAGTTGCCATTACCGTTTGTTCGGTAGCACCGTTGTCGGCAGAAGTTGAGGGATTGTTCATTGTTCCTTCGTTTGTAGTCGATCCTGCGCTTTACTAATTATTAGCAGACTCGCGGAGCGATCCCACTTCTGACACCATGTTTTGTTTTACGTTCTTTTACGAAGGGCACACATGGACAACCTTTCGTGCCGGAGTCAGGCTGAAGACTGACGTCTCGTTTATTAAATCTAAAACGAAATAAAAGAAAAGCGCCTCTGGTACGGGGCGCTCAGGTTACGCGCGAAGCGGACGAACGGATGTTTAGATCTCGGGCTGCGCGCGAACGGTTCTTCTCGGTCGCCTTGGACTTTGGAGCTCGCTATCGTCGGCGCGTCGGCGACCTCCATAACAGTTGTCGCCTTCGTTACCCTGTTAGCTAAAAGGTTCCCCGGATCAAGTCATGGCGACAACTACAAACTGTTTCTGCTGGGAAGGGGCGAAAACTTCGGTACGGCCTAGGTACAACCAGGCACTCCATGTCATGTGCCTCGCTACCGCTGCACTCGCGCACAGATCCTGACGATCCCTGCTTTCCAAGACAATATCCAGAAAGAGATTACACATATTTTTGGCTAACAAAAGATGTCAGTTATGACCATTCCTTCCCTCCTCGCTCTTTTTATACGCCCCTATCTACTAGGTACAACGTCATGTCAGTAAACATGCGAGTAGTGGACCCACAACAAGCGTTTTGTCGGACGAGAAGCACATTCCAAAAACAAACGGCGATTTAGAATATAGCGTTGTGTCAGGCGCCGTGTTCAAATAAATCATAAAGCTAAAAAAATTCAAAAGAGGGGCGCTGCAGCGGCCCCCTTTTGATGGCGATCTGGGCGACCGCCGAGGTCGCCCACCCTTAGGTCTTGCCCAGATTCCCAGGCTTATCTGGCGCCAAGTGTGGCCCACTGTCTTTGACTTTCACTAGTCTGAACTGCATGTGATTCATACTGTCGGAGCGTTCCCGTTAAATTTGAATTAACAAGCTTTTATGAGAAAAAAGGAGCATGTTTTTTGCATCTCAAAAATAAATTCTGCATTGCTGAAAGCCTTAAGTCCAACAGAATAGCACAACTGGTTGGAAGCAGGTGCCAAAGTTTCAGAACTTAGTGTTATTCGATTGAAAGCTTATAAAGCAATTTTCCCAAACTTTCAATAAGAAAATAAGGTCTATTATCTCCAAAAGTCACTTGTAACTTTCTGATTGGGTAACGTAGGCCCTGAAACTTTGTCGTCTTATCCCAACTGCTGGCACTATTATGCGGCAGAGATTAGACTTTTAGCAATACAGGGTTTATTTTTGCGACATGAAGAGAGACTTAAAATCTTGAACACACAACCCCTTGTTAACACCTCTTCCAAAATCCTTCATCAAACCTGTGGTACAGCACGCACTGCCGCGTTCGACACCGTCACATGCTGTAAGAAAAGGAACTTGCAAAGCTCCACAACACCCCTCGGTGGCATGCAGATGCCACATTAAGAATAGCAAGTATGAAAACAACTTGCAAAGCCACCAGAGTGCTTCAAAGAGACCCCCCTTCCTTCCTTGTGCTCACCTGTTTGGTCTGTAATCTGCCTGGGTGCAGCAAGGGTGGTCTTGAGCCTTACACCGGGACCCTCCTGACAAAATAGGTCCCCCAGGCCGGGGGTGGCCAGCCTCTGCCATGCCTGCAGCGTCTCCGAGCCTACAGTGCCACAAGGAAGGGGACTAAGTGTCAGGCCACAGCTAGCCCTTGCTCAGCATCGCCAACGATGCACGAGGCATTCCGCTGGCAAACGTGCATAGAGCGGTTCTGAACGAATCTCTTTTAGTGACTTTGTTACACGACTGAACTGGAGGGAATGAAGTGGAGCATTTTCCGACTGCTCCAGATCTACCAACGCATCTCGAGCAGGTCAGTCTCTCCGACTACTCCGCTCTAAATGTTATATGGAACAAGAAAACCGCATCCAACTTCACGGTACTCGGCCCCAACTCCTCTTACTGCGTAAACTTGCCTAATGCAGCTAGCATAAGCTCCCTGGCTTACGACGTGCCTTTTTTGTACAGATTAAGGACTGTGTAGGAAACGCTGATTCCCAAACTATCTTCTTTCGCTCTTTGCTACGTTACTGCTTCAGGTAAGAAATAATGGAAACATTACCGTACAATTGGGCCAAAGCGTTTAGCTCATTGAACTTGGTCGGTGGAAGATGAGGCATATAGCGGACCACACGTTGTACAGTCAACCAAGAGGTAGGATACTGACAACTGTGGAAATTGACTTCGAAATCTCCTCTGGAGTAAGGTACGCTAGAAGGCATCCATATCTGTTACAGTAAACTTGCATTAATTTTTTCTCCCGCAGACCTAGGTCTTTGGAACCGAAAAATTTCTAAAAGTTCATTCTTTTGAAAATGGCGATATTGACCTCTACAGCTGTCGTTCTTTTAAATGAATGGATGAATATTTAAGCTATAAATCCATTTATAATGTTTATGCAGGCTGAATGTGTATTAAAGTTGACTCTAAAACACAGTTTTTACAAAACACAATTTTTGGACTCGTTACAATTTGCAGGAGGGGTATCTCAGCTTCTAGGGCAGATAGAAATATAGCCCCTGAACCATGTAGCTAAACATGTGAAGCATACAATGTTGAGAGCAGATTTTTAAATATAGGTTTAAGAAATATTTTAAGTTATCCTTTGTTTCATTACTTAGTAGCTGAGCACTGAACTTCAATGTGTGCTAAAATCAATAATAATGGGTTAATCTTAAAAGTACTTCCAACATTGTATTTTCTACACTTTGTATTATCTAGCCATGTGTTGAAGAAGATATTTTGTTGAGCAGTTTTTTCCCTATTTTTTCTCCAAACAAAGGCAGGCAAATTTGAATTATTTTGAGGACAATTCTACTGACTCAGAAAATGACCAGATATTTTAAATCAGCACAAAAAGCTAAAGAAGCTTGTGCAGTTTTATTGGGTTTGATCATTAAATCAGAAAAAAAGCTCCAAGACCAGTGTTCCTTTTAAAGGGGCATTGCAACGATTTTTCTGACTTTGCCCAATTAACTGCAGGAATTAATCTGTGTTACCATTGAACGAAGAATGAAAAATTATGTTTTCTTGCGTGCGCTAGTTTTTATTTTAAAAAACAAAACAAATCAAAGGTCAAAGTGCCCCTCAACTCCCACACGGTCTTTTCAACGACACCTCTGGGGGACTACCTGGTTTTCCGTTGGGTTCTCTCTTCAGAGACTCCAGCTGCTCCCTCCATAACTGTCGACCTTTCAAGAATTAGCTTTGCCAAAGGTCGCGGCGAGTGATTGAGGCATAAGACAGTTCCCCTTGGGGCTGACAGCGAGTGTAGCAGCAGAGGGGGACAGGTTTTGTTCACTTCTGCGTGTCCCACAGACACGTGTATCCGTAGTTTCCGCAACTGCTACACGTGGCTGCAGATCGATAACTAATTTGTTTTTTCCTTCGCAATTACACGACAGAATAGCGATTTTCGAGGGCAAAGTGGCACGCTTTTTGTCGCTCGTGCCTAGAAAAGCAACATAAAAAATACAAACTGCTAATTCTTTTAACATTAAAATCATTGCACTACCCCTTTAATTTGATTTTTGCTTTAATTCGATAGTGCTCAAAAGTACCGGAGGTACCAATACATTTGAATAAAGGAAGAAATTCAATAATTTGAATGCTCAAGAACTTTGCATTGTTTAACTCGACCCAAGCGGAAACATGCGAACATGCAGCTGTACAGCGGCGGCGAAAGAAGCCGGCACGCGATAAGCACCGCGAGACTACAGATTTGTTTGTTTACTTTCGTCAGGCACCGATAGCAGTGGGCTTTCTTTTTTCTCTTTCGCGAGACTTTTCTCATTTTTTGCGCTGCACAACTGCAGCAGAGCATGCTTGCCTTGTTCATTGTCGGTGGCAAGGCGTGAAATTAGTGAGAGTATGGATTACCGCATGCTGCTCTGCTCGGTTAGGCACTGCTTTGCATGGAAATGCCATCGACCTTTGCAAGGACATTTGTGGATGTTGTAGAGTAAGCGCAAAGGCTGCGCAAGTGCGTGTGGGCAGCAGGTACCTATGTGCGTTTATGACTGGATTAGCCAAGAGCTGCAGCTCTGCCATATCCTCAAGCTAAAGCAGCGGTTCTCAAACGTTTGGCCACCACAGACCCCTGACCAACTGAAAAGCCGTTTGGAAACCGCCAATGCATTCTGCATCGGAGGTCTTGCACGGTGCTTTTGGTCTAAAGCACTTCATTTTTTTTTTTTTTTTTTGCACATTTTTATGTACGTTTTTAAGGACCCTTGGGGTTCCGCAGACTACAGTTTGAGAACCGCCAAGCTGAAGTGCCTAGCGGCATCGACTGCGTATGGCGTCACGTGGGAAGTACAGCTCACTGTCCGTCGGTATAAAGACAGCCATCTTTCGGGATGTTGCCAAGGTTGATCTATCAAAAAAGGATATTGCCGAAACTGCCGACACCAGTGCCACTGACTTGGCGCTGTCTTCCACCAAAAACTGGTGGAAGACAGCCTAGGGAACGCGGACAATGGCGTCGAGGTCTGCGGAGGACGAGGAGGAGGAGGAGGAGGCTGTCAAAAGCATCCCAACCGAGCGGCTGAGCGTGGCTGAAAGCATGTTCAAACATATCTACAACCTCCGGAATGTGCGGTTCAATGCACGTTTCGGGCGTAAGCGGCAACAAAGTATCTCTGGCTACTTCCAATAAAAGTGAGTCCGGCTTGGGCCCTTTTCCTACCTGCTTTTTCTTTTTCTAATTCAATCTTAAGGTAATTTTATCTAAATTTTAAAGGGGTGCTAAAACAAAATTCTAATGCCTTTTTTAGTGTCTAAATGTCCAACTATGTTGTGGCAACGCCCCAAAAACACAAATTTTTCGTTCGGAAAGACATTACAACTTTGTTTAAAATGAATCAAACGATTACCAAATTTCGCCTGCTGCACATTCCCAACACCACTTGGAACGTCATTACATCGACTTTCCGTGGAAATACGGCGCCAAGCTCGGAGCGCGCATAGGCTGTCAAACACAAACGTAAACATTTTGGCAGAGCTCCACCTGGTTAGATAAGCAATAAGAAAGGGGCACGTAGTAGACCCTCACTAATTTCTTCATTCTGTCCAACGTTTCGAAGCCGGCTCGGCTGCTTGTTTACGGGAGACTGCATGTGGGCCCAAAGGTCGCAATCTGTCGCTATCTTCTCCTTTCTGTCGGTGCAGTTTTCTTCTTCAGTCTTTTTTGCGTGGCGCATCGTAGCCCGTGTACTATATAGCTTGCTTTGCAGCGTTCCGGTGGGTCAATTCAGGTTGTTGTTCATATTCTTTATACGCCAAGATTCTAACAAGAGCTGTTTCCCCCATACCTCGGAAAATCCCATGTTCTTTCTTTCGTTTGCCAACTTCTTTTTGCATTTCTTTTCTTTTCTGAAAATATATTTTAATTTTTGATTTTTCAAATTGGTCGGTTGGCCTGTTCTCTCTCTTTGCCCGGCAGCCGTGAAAATTTGGTGTATGAGACGCCGAAGCGCCGTCCAAAGTTCCCACCTTGTTGGCGACTATAAAAGAAAACTTGCCAAGCAGTTAATCTCCCTTGCTAGCACCCCACATTGCCCTCTCGCATTAAAATAAATGTTACCTCAACTTGGAGACAACGAACCATTCATTTTTCATTGGCTAGACAGTGCTCGGATTAAACTCTCAAGGTTTTAGAGCCTGGAATAAATAGGTGTCTGTTTTTGCTTTTTTAGTGCTAGATTAAAAACAAGAACAAAGAAGCACCAATGGTGCTCAACTGTATCATTCCTTCTCAGTCACATTTTTCTCCCAGGAAAAGGCGGTTTTGAGTAAACAATGTCAGCCCCTGGTAAAAAGAACCCTGGTTATAAAATGACTCTTCCAAACGCACAGAGACAATTAATAAGAAATTTACAGCGTACAGTCGGGGACAAAAGTCTCCAGGACGTGCGAGCTGCGGATGAAACGCATCGCTCTGCCATCTGCCGGCGGGTCGCCTGGTTTCGAGATCACACAAAAGCGCATGCGCGTCCTACTCTGCCTGCAAACATGTCTGTTTTCCCGCTCTTCTGCGGCACAGTGACTAACTCGGAATCGGGCGCGTGGTACTGCCTCGGAGATAGCGCTGGCGGCTGACGAGCGTCAGACGAGCGTCTGCTACACATTCCGAAACTCGAGATACCGCCTGGGACATTTCGCCGCATTTCGCCGTGTCAGCGCACCTTGCTTTATAACCAGTTGAGCTTATCGCTCAGTTGAGATGCCGTGACTTCTTGCTTGATATGTGCCATGTCAGTAAGCGCTATCTCCGAGGCGCTACCACGCGCCCGATTCCGAGTTAGGCGCCGCGCCGCAGAAGAGCGGGAAAGCGCACATGTTGGCAGGCATAGTAGGACGCGCATGCGCCTTTCTGTGATCTCGAAACCAGGCGACCCACCGGCAGATGGCAGAGCAATGCGTTTCAGTCGCAGCTCGCGTGTCCTGGAGACTTTTGTCCCCGACTGTACATAGTGTGATTTTAAGAACATGCATCATGCAGTTTACCAGAGCCAGCTACTGTTTCATGACTCCCACCATCCTCCCAATCTTGAAAAACCAAAGTAGGATCATTATTCTGGTAAATAGCATGGTGCTGTTCTTAGCAGGGCCAACATAATTACATTTTTAGATTCGCTCGCTTCTCCATAGTTTCAGTGACTATTCTACCTCTTTGGCTAATTTGAAAAGAAAAGTGTCCCGAATAAAAAAATGAAAAATGTTTACAAATTTTTAATGCGAAACTAGAGCGCAGCTCTTGGGGAGGGAGGGACAGTACAGAGAGGAGGATATGCCCCTCCTCCTCCTCATCCCTCCTCCTTCTCCTCTCTTCCTCCCACTGAATTTGTTCATGGGTGACATGACACAAAGTCATGTGACGTTATTTTCCCTGCTAAATGTAGCGGGGAAACTGAATTGGTGTTAAGGTTATGTGACGTCAATTCCCCACTAAATTTAGCAGGTTAAGTTTCCCTGCTAAATTTAGCGGGGAAATCGACGTCACGTGACCTCAACACTAATTCAGTTTCCCCGCTAAATTTAGCAAGGCGGTTATGCCGACGGCAATGGCACTGCCGCGAAAAGCGGCGTCGCCGTAATATGAACATAATATAATAAAATATGAATCGCAATTCTGTGCCACGATGAATGACAACCTTCGGAGAGCTAAAAAAAATGTGGTACAAATTTCTAGTCTCCACCGATATTTGTAGGTATCTCTAAACTTGGCAATGAAAATGCCGACGCAACAAAAGAAGGGATTTGTTTTTCTACACTCGCTTTGGCAATGTTTACGAAAGTCCGTTCCCGTAACAATTACGCTCCCACATTTCTTGGGCTTTTTTGGGTTGACCAAAACTGTCCCATAACTGCGACACTAGGAAGCCGCACAGCTACTATGCCTGGAATGCATTTACGAAAGGTGTCGCACTCGCGTTGCGCCGCTGCCTGCCGCAATCTCCCCGGTCGTGTGGCGGCAAAAGCAGAAGCAGCAAACGTCCGTCCCGCCGTAGGTCACGCTCCGGCCCGAAGGTCCGCCAAAACTTCGGCGGCCACGAGTTGGCACCTCAACGACGGCGACGATTGCATTCGTTCGTCTTTTTCGCCGGAATGCCTATGGGCAGCCACCAGGATGGCGACGTTCGATAGCACGACGTGCCGGCTCCCGCTACGTCTTTGTTTCCGGACCGCTTTCGACGGGAAACACGCCAGTCAAGGACGCCTCCTAGGTGGCGCACGTGCGGCCCTCCCTCACCTTCAATGGGCTTCACAACCTGCAGTCTGTCCGACAGGCGGAAGCCGGTCCCGGGGGTCCAGGGAGTTGTTGCGAGGTGCCGGCCGTGCCGCTGCTGCCGCTGCTTCAGGGGGCTCAGTCCCAGACTGCTCAGGGATCTGCACAGAGACGGCCGTCGAACGCCACTCTCCCTCCCCCGTTCCGGCAACAACCCGTAAAATGCGCGCTCCATTTCGCCGTGACTGCGGGAAAAACTTGATCCGCGAGAGGTCGGTTCGTTCGTGCAGCGCGGCGGTCGTTGCCGCGCTACACATACCATTGGGTAGGCATCGTTACTTTTCGTTTGCTCGCTTCTTTCCACGCGACAGCACAACACATGCACACTTACGGCCAATCTGCGCAGGAGCCGTCTCCGTGGTTTCAGTTTCGCTTGTTACCTCTTTTAAATCTAGGCTCTCTAATACAGGATAGATGGACGGAGGAATGGATGCATAGCGGCTGTTTGACGGTGACTGACGCCACCTAACCACCATGAAGTTTCTTCCTTCATATTATATTGGTTGAGCCTGTTTGCTCAGATTTAACCCCTATCTGTTCATTTATATAAAATAAAATCCCGAATGCCCCTTTTCGCCCTTAAAATTGAGACCAAACATCACAAAAGGCCCCTCTTCCGAGATACAGATATACAAAAAAAACGACACATTGCGGTGTTAGGTCGTGCTTTTAACAAGAAAAGAAAGGCATGTGTAGCTGTAACTTTGGGTTTTTTGTCACGCTTAGGGTAGATAGATTATGTTTGCGCCATCAAATTGGATGTTTAGTGCCCCACGCCCATCAGCAGCTGAGTTTTCTTTTTCGTCTTTTTTTTTTACCAATATGTTTACACATTTGAGCTTTCGTTCCGTATGAGATGCATATTTTGCACCAGGTGCATATATAATATATAATATAATATTCTCATTCCCAGCACACTTTCAAAACTTCCTACAAATAAAATCATTATTCAATATTCAACTTTTTTTTTTCTTAATTCGATTCGGTATTCGATTTGATAAGCACTATTTGGTATCCGCACACCCCTACCTAAAATAAATTAATGAAGCACTTGTCCTGTCTGTTTTCTTGACTTTGTCCCAGCTATTTTGCACCTTTTTATCTATGTAGAAATTACTTAACAGTTTCTGGTCCCAGCAAGAGAGTGGAGGCAGAGCAGTGGAGAGGAAAGAGAGAGGCACTCACGAGTACTGGCTGTCGTCGTTTCCGTCCGATTCCTCCGACTCTTCCGACCAAATGCTTGTCCCGCAGTTGGCCCTAGGGAGACAAGAACCAGCGAGTGCCACCTGCCTTACTCCACAAGCCACCATTTCGAAGACGCCAAACCACGTCCGCCCGTTACTGGGTTTCGTCAGAGCCAGCAGGCATAACTTCAGCACATTTTGGATGTTGGTGATTTGCATGTTTTCCGGCGGCAACAGAGACACGTCACCAGCATCGTCCAAAAGGAAAGAAAATGGCTTTTTGAGAGCGCCCACATTGCGGCAGTTAGCTCCAGTGAGAACGCAGCTTTCAGGGTTCATACAGATTTTGAAGGAAGAAATTCAAAGATAGAGAATTTCATGGCCTTGTTGGAGTATTTTTAAGGATCTAACTCAATGCTGCGTGTAACTGTTTTTAATAAAACACTGTAGCCAAAAGATTGCTGATATAACTTTTATTGCACTAAGCAAAAAAAAACATTGATCTTGCAAAATTGATTGCATTGCACAAAGCAAAACCGCTTGTGGTAACTTCAGGGGACCTTCTGCACCTTTTCCTGTATTTGCTGGCTGATGCTAAGTAGCCCCTCGGTTTTGCAGTTTTTCTCAGGCTATTTGATTTGACAATGTATGTGAGGCTTATGCTTTTTCAGTGCAGGCATCTGCAGAAGCTGTAAGATCAGCTATCGCTGCATCAAGTTTCCTTTCCCTTGTTTTCGTAGTGTCAATCTCTTCATTTTGCCTGCTTCGCATCTTCACACTGCTTCTTCATTTCTACTTCCAAATGGTTCTTCAACGCCGAGTTACTTATTCGACGGTTTTACAGCAAAGATTGCATCTTGCACTACGCTGATTTGTTGTATCTGGCATCACCCAGTCCTTATATTCATCACTGTAGAGCCACGCACCTTGAAACTCCCTCTCACCGGATATTTTCTTACTTACGCTCGCATTATTGTACAGAAAGCGCACCAATAATCGTAAAACAATCAATCATAAAGCACAATGCCAATGGCGAAAGCTAGCAGAAACAATGCGCAGAAGCATTCATGGATCAGGTTGGACTGGATCTGCTCCAATGTGGCCAACCATCAAACAAACGTCGGCTAAATTTATACAAATTGTGATAACTTAAACCGAAATGAAAAAAATTTAAATGATTTACAAAAATATAAAAAAATTTACCCGCATTCGTTATTATATATAGCCATACACGGATTTTCAAGGTCTAGCAAAAAATCTAGGGCTTTCAAGGACCCTGCAAACCAAACTTTCAAGTTCAAGGGTTTTCAGGGTCTAGCAAAAAAAAGTTTGGGTTTTCAAGGGCCTTGAAGACCCTATTTTCAAATTCAAGAATTTCGAGGCTTTCAAGGACCTGTGCACACCCTGAACAGTGCATTAAAACAGCAGACTAGTATCGCTTGACAAAGCCTCTTACCCCATCAGTAGCAAAGGAAAATATCACACAAAGTGGTAGGTTATGCAATTAGTTTCAACAAAGGTGGTGACAAACAGGCAAAATGCCCATACCAAACACTGGAAAAAAAAAAAAGTTTCATTTACCCAAGCAGGGTCTTGTAAGTTGGTGATATACAGCTTGAACTACAGAAATAGAGTGCATATCTTTCCTGATCATACTTACGACGCCTGTGCCACATCTTTGCATGCGGCTTAGAAGACTCGGAAGTGAAACATTCAGCATTTGGAGGCCACAGCGCATTCCTAAGTGAGGCATTGACCGAATGTCAACGCAACAGCTTGGATTTGTGGACACTTTATAATCCACGTCGGTCATAGATAAAAAGATTGCACATTTCTTTCACTATCGGGCAAAGGCGGTGGTAACATAAATGTGACGCGGCATCGAGATAGATGCAATCGCAGCACCGCCGTTTCCGGCGCCGTGGCTACTCCACCACCATAACTCTAGGAGTGAGGCACAACAGAATGGAGAAAATAAAAGACTCGCGCTGCGCTGCAACTTACTTGTGAACGGCCCTATCCAGAAAGCGCACCAAAATGAAAAAAAGAAAGAAAGGAGAGCATGCGTTTAGCGGGAAGGGCGAAAGCTCGGAAAGCGCGTCGCGGGTGTCTCTACGTTTGACCGCGTGACATGACCCATAGCTGTAGCTCGAACCTACCCGGCAAGGCACGTGGCTGGCACTCGTGTTCAATCAGCGGGGAGACGAACACTGCGCAAGCACTCATCTGGCACTTGCGTTTCCCGGATCCGCCTCGGGAGCGAGAACCCGAAACGGTTAAGGCCCGTGCACACTCTTGCAACCGAGTACAACCGAGAGAGACGAGACCCGTTGAAACGTTTTAAAATTTCTTAGGCCCAGGGAACACATTGGCACTCTGGCGCCATCTATGCGGTGACCATGGAACTGCATTTCACATGAGCAGAGGTTTTGCGGGATTTCCGAGGTCAAATATGCGTAATACCCATAAGAAAGGCTCATTTATAACGTTGACAAAAGTTTTTCGAGTCAAGAAAGAAAGGATAACGCGCGAGAGAAATAGAAAATATGCTGGACCGCCAAGTTTACACTGCTACCCAACAGATGGCGCCGGTGTGTCCTCTCGTTGTAAGAGGTTTCAAGGCACACAGTTCTAAGAGGTCGCAAGAGTCTCAACAGGCCTTTAGGGGCATAACACGTCCTGTGTTTGAAACGAGCTGCTTTAACCGACACGCGAGAAGAAGGGCCCCACCTGCGCTCCTCCTGGGAGGTGTATCCGTCGCTGTCCCCCCTGGCCATGGAGTCCCTCAGCTCGTGGGCCAGGGACGGGACCGTGCAGGGCGGCGCTGAGGAGGCCGCCTGCGTCCGCAGCTGCGCCTGCAGCTCCGCAAAGGCCTCCCGTAGGTCGAGGTAGCGCACCCGCGCCTCATGCAGCTCGGAGGACAGCTGCTCCTGCAGCCCCTTGCTCAGCGACAGCTGCCCCCGCAGCTCCTCCGCCTCCACACGCAGCTGCAATGCCACCCAGGACAACGGTGTGAGGTACTCCTTAGGCGAGGACGCGCGGTACGACAAACACTGCAAGGCAATCAACTAGATAAAGTCCTATTGGAACGCGCCCGTCGGCCAACGACGCCGTTTGCACCGCCCAGACGGCTTAATTGAGAAAAAAAGAAACATAACAACAAGGTGTCTCGGTGTTATGGCACCCGCCATACGCACGCATTCTCCACTCCGAGCGCCTGCTCAGACGCTTTGGCACGGCTTAAAAACGGTGCCAGAGATCCCTCTGTTTCAAAATGTATCTGAAATTGCTCTTGCTGCCATTGATGCAGAAAAATAGGGTCAATGGCGACGATGTGTCCAGGCAACACGCGAAGAAGTACAGTTGTAAACTCATTACAACAGACCTTGAGAGAGATAAAGATTTTGGTCTATCGTGACAGGAGTATGCAGAATGCAGATACTTTTACTGCAGACTTTGAGGTGAATTATGACTGGAGTCTATCCTTACCAGTGAGACATGAAATCTGAATGATTATTAGAAAAGAGCCAGTTTATTGGAACTTCTAAACTTTGAAAGGTAGTGATTTTTTATTGAGCTGTCCCGATAATCGTCATCACTGCGTGCTTTGGGTAGGGTTTGTACGAGCCTCGCTAGGTGCCGAGCGTGACAGCGGCGATTCGCAAAATGGATGCCACCACTACCGAACCAAAGGCGCGCACGTCCAGAATGCTGACCGCCGTCGGAGAGTGTGCCGTAATGGAATAACGAACTACTACCAAACTCCCGCTATATAGTCCATTATATCCACATTATGTTATAACACAATTTAATAAGTGAAGACGACACAAGGGCACAGATAGGAAGACCAACCGAACTTCCCAAACTTGTATGTTATAACCAAATGTCTGCCGTAACCAGATTTGTTGCAGCGAGGTTGTACCGTAGTACTGTTACGCACTTGCGTCGGCAGCGGTCTCAAAGCAGCACCAAGTTACGACACGGGAGCCAGTGCGTCGTGCCACCTGATGTCGCGATCCTGGCAGTTAGTAGTAAAGTTTCGGTAAAAAATGACGAGCGAACGATAGCGTTGCGGCGTCACGACTTCTGGCTGCCAAAGCTTCCGTGGACCGTCGAGCTAGAGAGCAACCGACAGCAGATCAAGCGTCTGCCCCATACACCTTAGGGCCGGTTCACACATTTATGCTTGACTGCGATCGAGCGTGTCACACTCTCTTCCAAGCTCCTAAGACGAGGGGACGCACCGCAGGTCGGTGAACCACGTGGGCACATGGCACCACCTGTTGGTCAGCCCTGGAACTGCACATTACTAGACCGAAGGTTTTCGCCTATCTATGCAAATCTATGCACTATCTATGAGAACTAGTGAGTTATGACACTGTTAAGAAGTACTTCGAGCCCACAGCAAAAGGAAGATGCGCAAGAAATTAGAAACTAAACTCTAATTGGAAGTGCTCCGGGGCTGCGTGAGGGCTGCCCGACGGCCGACACCGGTAAGGTCTGTAGACGTAAGTGGCTGCAAGAGACCGTCACGAGGCATCTGGTCGCAGCCAAACACAAACGTGCGAACCGGCCCTTAACCCTCTGCTGCCCAGCCACTGTCAGGGTCGTGGCAGATGACGGCGTGACAAAAGTGTGACAACAATGGGTACGCATCTAGGAACTATAGTCACCAACGAGGCGAAAGTGACTGGTCGCGTCTTTCGAATGCCCGGCCTCCGGCATGCGCTCGTTGCTTTTCGCCACGCTTTTGTGTGCACGCGCGCAGGTGCACGAGTCGCTGAAGCACGGTCAAAGGTGGAAAGGTTGCGCTGGAGGCGGGACAACTGAAGCTCCTCTCTGTTGTTCTCACCTTGTTAGTGACTATAGAAACAAGGACACGGTGAACGCACTGGTCGGAGATGCGTTCCCAGAGTCCAATTTTGGTGACCGTGAGAGCGAGATCTAGTCTGCCTCTCGCGGAGTGAGCGAGAAACGCGGTCCATCTGCCCCAAAGTATCGTATGCACACGGAAATGAAGTGAGAGCATGCTGTACACCATCTGCTAACAGATCAGAAAGACAGTCGATCGTCCGACGCAAACCAAGCGCCGCGGCGAGGCGAGGCGAGATAGGACACGGGCCAAAATCGTGATTGTCTGCTATTTCACGTTGTAAGCCATTGACAACCCGCACTTTGCTCACAAACCTCGAGTCATTCCATTGCCGTACACGAGCCGACATTGACTGGTGGGTGAAGGAGCACTAAGGACAAGCGCATCAAACGCTGCGAGACCTTTCTTGCTACAGTGCAATCCACTTATAACGATAATGAGAAAACCCGAAAATTCAAACTTTAGGTATAACCATTTATCGCTGTACATGGGCTAGAAACTGATCGTTTCTAGTCTAGAAGCTCTAAAAACAAATTGTTATAAGCGGTACATCACTATAGTATGTAGTGTTGTTATTAGTGGATTGCACTGTACTTGCACGTCGGCGAGATGTTTTTGCCAAATTTTTGCTCAATCGTGAACTCGCAAAAGGGTAAACAATCACTCACTGATCGATCGCACGCAAGCCTCAGCGCTGTATCCAGTCGGCAGCCCAAGAGCGCTCTCGCTCTCGCCTCGACCGAAACTGGACCCCGCTCCCCTTTAGTGGAAGGGCCCGCTCACCATGTGCGTGTAGCGCTGCAGTTCTGCCAACTGGGCCGACAGAGAGGCAATCTCCTGCTGCTGACGCAGGTTAGCCTCGGTCCTCCGCGACAGTTCCTCTTGCAAGCTGCTCGACTCCCGGGACGCGTCCGCTGCACCCGCCAAGCGAGACACACGCACCTTCAGGGTACGCACTTTACGCTCAGCCTCTGCCGGGACCGAGGCAAATGGGTGCAAAAGCGCCTTTAGACAGGAAACGCCGTCACTCACACAGCTGTCGTATGCAGTCCTTGATGAGCTGCATCTCTTTCTTCTCCTCCGTTTCCAGGCTGCTCAGCTGGCTCTGCGACTGAACGGGGAAACGAGTCAGCTGACACTTCCACGCAGAAGACCTGGCTCCTCGGAACTGCAAGGGGTCGCTGGGTTTTGCTTACTAAAACGGGTTTTGAGGAAAGCAAAAATCAAAGGGGGACCTTTTTTTCCAATGGCAATCCCTGACCAAAAGTCTGACATGAAAACTGCCTCTGGCAATACGATATCCATACAGTACGGAAAATTAAAGTCAGCAGGGCACTTCATTTTCTGCGTCAGCTCTTCCTTTTGAGAATACTCCTGCCATGTTCGCCTGGCTAGAAGCCTGCACCAACTGCTATTCTCTACTGCACGCTCGTTATAAGTACAATTCAATGTTTCCAAGTTTTTTTTCTTTTTTTTTCTTGAATTTGTGGTTGGAGGGGGGGGGGGGGGGGAAGCATCTCTATGGAGTTTACCTTTCTCCACATTTGATGTGTATTTTCTGTGTCGAACAAAAGTTTAGCCTTTATATCAGCTCTTATTCAAGAAAACCAAACATGGCCATAAGATTCCCCGACCCCCCAAAACCAAAATACTTGGAGAATGTCCCAGCACCGATAAAAAAAGAAAGTGTGACGAGCGGTGTGGTTTCCGAAGAAAACGGCAGCCTCATGGGCTGTGTTCTGGCTGAAACAAAATAGGACTGTAGGTGATCATTTCTTTCCTCGAAATTTCTCTTATTCAAGAACAGCTACCATTGGGTTTCTCGCTCTTCCCCTATTTTGATAAAACTGGCTCGAGGGTTCATTTTTGAAGTTTACCGGCATGTACTGAAAGCATGGAACCTTAGTTGACGAGGCAACATACCTCTTCATCCAAGCTCTAGACTGTCTTGTAAGCACACTGCCTCCTGTGCTCGGCTACCGCGAACAGTTGGGACATGTTCCTATTTCTAAGGACCCGAGGGTATAAAATTTTAGAAAGAAAAGTTTAGAGGCCCTGGTTTTTAGAGCGCAGCTCTTAGGCCCCCGTTTCCGGCTTGAGTGGCGGTGCCGTCAGCGTAACCGTGCGGTGCATTATCAGTAAATTTAGCGGAAAACTTTCCCCGCTAAATTTAGCGAAAACATTTCCCCGCTAAATATAGTGGAAAAAATTTTGCGCTAAGGTTAGCAGAAACATTTTTCCGCTAAATTTAGCGGAAAAACTTCCCCGCTAAACTTAACGGAAAAAATTCCCACTAAATATAGCGGAAAAAATTCCCCGCTAAATTTAGTGAAAAAATTTCCCCGCTAAATTTAGAAAAAAAATTTCCCCGCTAAATTTAGCGGAAAAAATTCCCCGCTAAATTTAGCGGAAAAAATTTCTCACTATACTTAGCGGAAAAAATTCCCCGCTAAATTTGGTGGAAAAATTTCCCCGCTAAATTTAGCAAAAAAATTTTCCCGCTAAATTTAGCGGAAAACATTTCCTTTTAAATTTAGCAAAAAAATTTCCCCCCTAAATTTAGCGGAAAAAATTCCACGCTAAATTTAGCGGAAAAAATTTCTCACTATACTTAGCGAAAAAAATTTCCCCCTATATTTAGCAAAAAAATTCCCTGCTAAATTTAGCGGAAAAATTTCCCCGCTGGAAAATTCCCCCGCTAAATTTAGCGTAAAAATGTCCCCTAAATGGGAGGAGAGGAGGGGCATAGCCTCCTCTCCGTACCTTCCCCTCCTCCTCCTCCTCAAGAGCTGCGCTCTAATTCGGCGTTACAGGAGATTGTAAACGTCTTTCATCTTCTTTTCTTATTAATGCGACACCATTAACTGTCCCATGGATTAAGCCGACATCATCAGCCGTGCCAAACGGCAGATAAATTCCCGAAGCAGCGATCTGAGGCATCCCATCTTTGAAATCACATAGAAAGTTACGCAAAATGGCAGTGATACGAAGCCACCACGCGTCAGTTTCAATTAGCGCCTCTCCATGGCGCTGCATGTCCGTGAGGCAGCGGCTCCACGGTCAAGGTCAGCGTGGCAAAGACAGCACACCCGCTCGACCGTCGACGCAAGTATGCCGCAGATGAAATAAGAGAGCCGAGGAACGGCATGCATGCTTTCGCATTCACAACTCATAAGAAGAGCTTAGGTGTACTTCGAGCCTTTTTCTGCTTCAGGTTGTCAAAAAAAAAAAAAACGAGGCAAAACAATGTGCTTGACGAGTAATGATGTCTCTGAAATATTATGACATGCAGCAGATGAAACGGCAACTACCAAACCCATTTCAGCTTTCATAACTATAAAATAAAACAACAGAGAAACCAAAACCATGAAGGAATAATTTGGTCATAAAACGAGGACACTTCACATTCGGCGACAACCATTTCCTGCCACATTGCCGAGGCTAGTGCGCTTCCTCCGTGCTCCGAGGCTTTGCGCCAGCGTGTGCGAACAAGACATTGTCAAAGCTACGCTAGCCTTAACAAAGGCTACATTAGCCTTGACAACTCAGCACAAAATGGTTTATGCCGAGCACAGTTCCACTCAACCATGCGTCCCGGCATCTCTCACCTCTGCCTTGAGCTGGCTGTTCTCCTGCTCCAGCTGATGGATCTTGCGGTTCAGGACACAATAGGCGTCGGCTTCCTCACTGCACACACACATACCGTAGCTTCAGTCGCGGCACAGAGGGCCGAGCCGGTGTGGTGCCCCTACGATGTGGCTCCATTTATTAGAACCCAAATTTTAATCCGTCGATCAATCAACCACTATGCAAATGCACGAGGAGGAACTGTTAATTTTCGAGCAAGGCCTGCCATGCCATTTTGTCAGTTAATTTATGACAAGTTGTGTGACAAACAGACCGAACGATGGAGAGGGCCGGTTGCGAGTGGCTCGCACCGTGTGGGACGATTGCCGTAGCCTTAAGCCGTCGCTCGAAGCGTGGTGCCATGAGACAGCGCGTGCACTTTATAGAAAATAAATAAATGTTTATCTCTGTGTCTACTGACATCAGAAGGCAGGCTTCTGGAATGTTGAGGTGTGGAAGCTTGAGCAGCTCGCTGCGTGCAGGCATCAGTTTTTTCAACTTACTTTATGACAAAATAGGTTCGCATATGCTGTCGTGGACGAGCAGCTCCAACAGTGACTGGGTATTTATTGATCCAAATCTAACACCAAGTCTAACAATACAAAAAGCGTCCGACTCTGCAGCGGGAGCAGAAAGTGCTCTTGGACAAAAAAGAAGTCGAAGCTCGAAAAACAGCTGCAAATGCCATGACTAAAGGTCGAAGGCTGTCGCTGACTGAAATCCGGGATGTACGGGAGAAATAAAGTTATACACGCAGACACTGAACCCGTGAAAACATTATTTTCTCTTTTTAAGTGGATGGATTGGACATGCATGTCACAAAATCAACTTTTTCCAGGGGTACTCAAATTGTTCCCCATCGGCTTCACTCAGAAATGGTGTCATGCCAACCCCTTGCAGATAAGAAAGCCTCAGTGACGAATCATCCCGCAATATTAAAAAAAGTCAAAGTAGCACGCAGATTGGACACGGGTACTCTACAGATTTCTAGTTGGCGGAATCAAACTCCGGCCAAGGTGTCTGCACTCCAAAGAAGGCTTATAGCGGAGACGTATTGGACTTAGCGTGAAACGGAACATAGGTCAAACACGTCGAGAGGAGAGAGCGGCCGCCACTGACCCAGGCCAGTAAAGACGGGAGCAGAAAGCGGCAAATCATGAGCACCGACATGGGAGAGAAAGAACGGGAAAGAGAGTGACAGAAGAGCGGAGAAAGAGAGCAGATGATAGCTTAGGTGTGCTCATCTTTGTTTCTTGTATATTAAAAGGCAACTCCACTCAATTCCGAAAATTTTGGTACAATGAGTGATTTCACATTAATAGCGCTAATAAAAGACACTACACCATTTGCTTTGCAAAAAGTTAGATATACAATGTGAAATCTTATTTTAAACATGCGCAGAAATCATAACAAAAACTTTGGCTCCATTTGGCAACATTGGCCTTGGGCAGCCAAAACCCGGCTGTCACGTGGTACGCCAGGCGCACGTGTCATCTGCACCACACTCTTCACCACGTTTTGGTGTCAACGACATTTGACGACGTCTGCACAACTGCGGCATCAGTCTGCGCACCTAGGTGAACAAAACTTTAAAAAACAATATTCACAAAGGGTGAAACAACAATGGCGATTCTGACGTGGAAGACGGTAACGGCGGGACGGCTCCCAAAAAGCACGCTGCGCTGGCGCGTTATGTCAATCACGTGGACACCACTGAGCACCATGAGGAAACAATGCTGATGTCACCCATTATGCTTGCCCGGAGAGGTAAAAACAAACAAAAAGGGGCAATGATGATGACGTTTAGCTCAATGTTGGCTATGCCAATGCCATAGCCTTGACTGCGCTGTTGGTTGCACCTCTATTCGCCTGTTAAGAGTCAGCCAATTTCAGCAACTTGGCACGTTGCTTAGTTTGCCGGACAGTTTAGGAAACATTTAGACAGGACTAGGAGGTAATATTGTCACGGGTGGTGACCAATAAATAAGAGGAAATAAACAGGAAGAAATAAACATTTAATGTGGCGAACTTGTGCCAAAAAATAAAAGGGGTACAAAAGATAATAACAGAGCGTCGCGGGCGTCGAAGTCGGCGTGACAGCAGAGTCGAACGCTGGGACGAGACTGACTCCGGCTTGCCCGCGGAGCCGCTTTTGTACACACGTTGGCTTCTGGAGCATTCGACGTAGAAGGTTCGACGCCTAGAACATTCTGACCTCGAATCATCTAGACGGTTCTCGATTTCACCAGAACATCACATTACAGTATCAACAAAAATGCATAGCCGCGGCCAGGAATCGAACCTTGGCCCTTCGCGTGGGAGGCAGGCGCGATAACCGTTAGGCTACGGCCGCGCTGCCTACTTGGCGCGCGGCAATATTTGACGCGTGATCTTCCTAGGTGATACTGAAGAGGACTGCATTGTTTGTACAAGAACAAAGATGAAGCGGAGTTGCCCTTTAAAGCGTCGCCAGCGATCTGGGCCCACGGGACTGCCGACATCCCATCTATGCCCCTCTGTTCCGAAGCGCCCGCAATGCACGGGACCATTTCTTGTAGAATCTAGAGGACAAGAATGTCGTACGAACTCCGTGCACCGACCTCTGCGGGTGTCCTGCTCCCGCTCCATCCCGGCCGCCTCCCTCCTCGTCTGCCCAGCAATCCTCGTGCTGGGCGTACGCCTGGAGCAGGGCGGCCTTGGTGGCCAGCTGGTGGCGCAGGTGGGTGAGGGCGTCCTGTGCCTGTGCCAGGTCCCCCTCCAGGGCCTCCACCCGCTCGCACAGCTGGCCCTTCTCTGCCAGCAGGCCCTGGCCAATGTGGGCCGCCAGCTCCAGGTCGCGCTCCTTCTCCTCCAGCAGACGCGTCAGGGCCTCCGGATCGCTGTATGTCCGCGTCATCTGGCTCAGACGCTCTCCGGACACCACTGCAAAGGACATGGGGACGAGGGGGCCCCAGCATCAGTCTGGGGATAGCCATGTTCCAGCGGTCGTCGGTTGCAGATCAATTATATTCTAGCCTTCAACCGTGCTTCAGAGGCTAACAGCTGAAGGTCAACAGATGAAGGTCAACCATGATTTGAAGATCAGCAGTTGAAGGTCAACCATGATTTGAAAATCAAAAGGCCAACCACACTTTAACCTTCACCCTACTTTGAAGGTCAACAGTTGAAGGTCTGCCATACTTCAATTGTCAACCATATAAGACGAAGAGGCGAAGACCAACCATTTCAATATGCCTTCAACTATACTTTGAACAGTGAGAGTCAAAGGTCAACCATACTTCAAAGAACAACAGCTGAGGGTCAGCCATAATTTAAGCATCAACCATATTTTGAAGGCCAACAGTTGAAGAAAGTTGACCCTATTTCAAAGATCAACAGTTCAAAATCAACCCTGCTTTGAAGGTCAAGAGTCAGGTGCCAGTCGTTTTAACCTTCAACCCTACTTTGAAGTTTAAAGTCATAAGTCAATAGAGATGCGATTGGTTTGAGTCATTTTGGAACAACTTTTAAAGCAGTCATAAGTCCATTATGGAGCAGAAAAAATTGAAAATGTAATTTAATTATGCGTATCTATGGCATCTTATGTGTAGAGATTTATAAAGGTGCAAAGTAAACATATAAGCTATATGCCTTAAAAAATTCAGCTGAACTCATTACCATTATTCCTAAGCTTTAATCGCACTGCCGAAGTTCTTTCTGCTTCAATTTAAACTTGATTGACTGCATCCACGAATGGTTGGAAGATTTTATAGAGTTAATAACTAAACATAAAGAGTAAATTAATAGTACAACCCAGTAACAGCTAATCAATGTTATTTATCAATAAGTAAGTTCTAAATATCTGCCCCTAAATCTTAAAGGTAAAAAAAATAAAGCATGATTAATGATGCACGGAACATGTGAGGATATTGCGGTCTATCATACAGTCTAGTCATAGTTTTAGTTTGCCAATTTTATTGCAAGCTAGATGTTGTCACATTAGCATTCACCAAGTTCTGTTTTTTCTAGTGAAATTTTTCTTCACATACTTGATGTGCGGTCGTGCACCAATCCACCCAAACAGACCAGTGCACTTAAAGGAGCTCAATAAACCACCCGAACAGGCCACGAACAAGGAAAAACTTCAGGCAACTTCCAAGCACAGATTTCAGGCAACTTCCAAGTTCGATATCAAGATAAAATCAAACCGCACGTTATTCTAAACAATAACCGAAAGTTCTGAAAATTCGCACAAACATACCATAGCAATCCGGCAGTGTAGCGAAACATTGACTAATAGTTTTTGTGTATGTGAAGTGAAATGACTGAGCTTTTGGTGTAATGTTGGTGCAAATTTCTCACATTTTGGTGAAATGTAGCAGGACATAGCAGGGCAAGCACTAAGGAGCAGTTTGGCACAAATGGCACAGCAATCACATCACTGAGTGGACCGTACTTCAACTTTCAACCATATGTGGAAGATCAACAACTAAATACTTTCATTGCTTTAACGCCACCCCCACTGCCAAGGTCAACAGATGGGGGTCGATGTAATCACTAGAGCAGTGGTTCTCAAATGGGGCTTGCACACCCTCTGAGGTTCACAAAGACGTATTTTAGAATCCACAAAGCCATTACACCAAAAGCTCAAAAGTTAAGCAATAAAACTTTTTTCTGTCATACATGGGAAGAATGTCAGTTATGCGCGATGTCTCTTCTCTACAGGATAATAAAACGAGGCTACCTTACATTAGCGATTAGTTGCATCCATTTTCTCTACCATCACCACAATCCCCCAATGCGCTCCCAGATGGGGCCCCAGACCACTTCCAGCAGAGCATGGAAGTCACATGGGACTCCGAACAATGCAGTGCCGACTCCTCGCGCTCCCGAAACGGTTTCCACTCACCGAAGTAGTTAAGGGTCTCCTGAATGAGCTCTGGCGACAGGTCCAACGTCTCGGGATTAGGCAGGCACGGCACCCGGATGCACCAATCCTCGTTGTCGTAGCCTGCAAGGGGACAAGCACATCTTATTTCCAATGTTTTAATCCCCACGTTTAATCGCCGTCGGAACGCTCGGCGACAGTTTCGTAGCCACAATGAAAACAATTGGTAGTTTATTAGGCCTTTCTTAAAGGCCCTTGCTCACATCCGCCTAAAACCGCAGTTGGTCGCACATATTACACTTCGCACCGAGCGGATTGTTCGGGGACTGCAGCTTGAACTGCCAGCCGGCCACTGTGTAATGGCAACTGGCTTCCTGACGCTACTCTCGTTTGACAGTCGCGTCCCCTACCCCTCCCTTTTCACCTTGCTTTGCCTGCAACTGTTGCTCCTGCGTTGCTTTCGTGGTACACACAACCCTCAAGCAAGCGCCTTCGTAGTATGCACAGTCTGCTTTGCTGCTGCCGAACGCAAACTCAGAGAAGTCACTGCTCTAATAGCAGTCACCAATAGCAAGCTCCGCATGCAAGTGGCAACTGTATGCTTTATCGGGGCTACATCCCACGCTCCGACACAAAAGTGCTAGAGCTGGTCCTCTAGGTGCTATGCGCGTGCAGGGGGTTTATATTTAAGCTTAACAGATTTGTTTAAAAAAAAGCAGAGAAAGCTACACTAATGGAGTTTGTGCAGGTGAGATATACGGCCAGGGGGACACAATATAGGGGGCTAATCGTAACGATCACACTGGCAAACTAAGTAAATTATGTTAACATTTTAATTATTGAAAATAAACATATAGCTCTAATTAGTAACTTGCTGAGTGTCATCAAATCCACTAAATGAGTCAATGCTAGAAAGATTTGGAGCACGTGGGAAGCATGGTGGAATGCGGAAGTTTCCACATGTGCAGCAGGAGCGAGGCTACTGGTGCGATAATCTGCCTGTGCAGTTTTAGCGCTTCTTTATCATCCGCATTTATTCACTTCAGCCTTGTACCTGTTGCACGATTGGTAACATTAGCACTCCACCGTGCTTTCCATACCCGCTCGAAGTCTTTCTAATATTGACTGATTCAGTGGCTTTCGATGACGCTCAACAAGTTTCTAATTTATTTTCAATATTTAAAACAATAATTAACATATTTTAGTTAATTAGATGACAGAATGTTAAGCCCCCTGTACTATGTCCCCCTGGCACTCACCAGCACAAACTGCATCAGTGCAGTTTGTGCAAACTGTACAAATGGCCTTGAAAAGCGCGGTTATTTTGAATATTGGTTTTGGCGGCATTTTCAATTGCCAATTTCACAATAACTATTCTGAATTTCGCTATACTAAATAGCATGCCGGAAAGAGTAAAGGCCGGTGATTTAAAAAGTACAGTTAGCTGGGGTAGCTCAAAAAATTGCCAGAGGCATTTGCAAAGTTCCAGTTTGTTAGAACATTTTGCTTCACAGATGGAAGACGATAGCCAGGAAATGCAAGTACGACCATGGCACAAGTCTCAACCTTCTCCGATTTCATTTATTCATTCCTTAAAAGCCCTTTTGCAAGGGAATTATATGCAAAAGCAGTGTTTTGTTGGTGTTCTACCAAAGTTCAAAAAAGAGGAGATTGGCCATATATTACTTACCCTTTCTAGTTAGTTGCCAAGTTTTCACAACATTGGTGTAGTGATTCAACATTATTGTTCTGAGGATCCCTTACTTTTGACTTTGTTTCGAAGCAAGAGTCCCCAGCCTATCAATGCAGTCAGCGTAGCGCAAGTCGGTACAGGTTCGAAACCAGAAAAAGGTCAAAAGACAAACAGACAATGCAAACAGAGTGCAATGTGTGTTTTCCTCTTATTCATTCACACATGTTTGTTTTTTTGGTTTTTTTTCTTCTTATTTCCAGAAGTTACAGACAAGCGAGGCAAACATAGAAAGAAAAAAGCCAAACAAACAAGGAATATTCGAAGGCCGCTACTAACCCCTTTTTACCTTTGTTGTTGCAGCTGCCCCGTTCCTGCCTTCTCGACTAATAAAATATGCAGGACATGCCGGGCTTGCAAAACAAAGTGAACGAGTCGCATGCATGCTCGCAGGAAAAAGTAAACAATGGTATCAGCTCTGGTGGAGGTTATTTCACTCTCTCTCTCTCCCAGACACAAACAGACACAAACAAAAGCTCAGTTATGTTTACTGTGAAAGATGTACCAGGTACAACAAGCACCTGAATTACACCCCGATTGCTTCGTGCTCAACTCACCATGAAATTTAGTATACTGTAGTAGAGGTTTCCAACATGACCACAAACTTGATCCTCTCACGAACATATTCAGGCCTCAAATCGGGGTCGTAATGGATTAAAATTAGGGCCCTGCAAACTTGGGTATATTGTTATTCTGGTTTTGCTCAGCCCTTTTCAAGCAGACTCTCATTATCCAAAGCGGATAAAAAGTTTTAAAAATAACAGAAAAGACAAGTTTTGAAATAACTAAAGTAGCAACTTTTCATCAGTACTGGTTGTGAAAACCACAAAGACAACTGGCTGAATGACAAAAAGACCTATTGTACCGAGGAGCTTCACTTATGCTTAAAGAGGCATCCATAAACCAGAGAGGGGCTCAGACTTACTGGCGAGTGTCCATCTCCAAAAAAAGACCAGACCTCCGTGAGGTGCATTCTGCCACGTTCGAACACAGCAAACCGACCGCTGTTCCGAGTGGTGGTGCAATACCTCCTTTTATCTACTTTTCTTACTCTCTCTGCCCTTTTCAGAATTTCGCTCATGATTACGTAGAGTTTTTACGGCAGCTTTAGAGACAATTTTTGAGACGTCCGAAGTTCTGGAAACCTTTAGAGATAGATGATGAAAAAAAAAAAATTTCATTTCATTTTATTCAGCTCAAGGGCATCCAGAGGATGCGTTATGCTACGGAGGATGCATATGTGACTGAAGGAGGATATGTTCGTGACAGGGAATTCCCAACAAATAATACAGACACCTTATCGGTAAAGAGTAAAAAAGACTAAAAGAAACACAAACAAGGAACACCAGATAGCAGAAGTGACAAGAGGTGATAACAGAATACAAAAAGCAATACATCATTGAGGCAACACAACAATGATGCAGTGAAACACAAGTTTGAGGGAGGTGGATTTCCATTTTTAATGCAGAGACACTCGCTTCAGGTGAGTAGTGATTGCATATGAATCAAGATGCTTTGTTCTAAACAGATTATAGCTAATCTTGATGTGGGTTCCAAACGGTGCTTGCATACTGCAATGTGGGGAGGACCATTGCTCTGCAAGCGAGCAGTGTTGTTTCAAGGGGGGGGCAAAATATAAAGTTTGTCTTAGAAGACCAGGTGCTTTCAGTGCACATACTATTTGTGTCTGTTCTATGTGTCCATGATAATGTGTCCGTGAAATTAATATCATATGTGTTCCAGTTGTTGCGACAGTAATGAGTAGTTCGTAAGTGTTCTAGTGGAGTATTTAGCTACTGAAATTTGTTTGAATTTGTAAGCATTAGCGTTCATCTGCCGCAGGGAGCGCCAGGAAGATATTGTATCTAGATTGCCTCGGAGAATATTGTAATCATTGTGCATTGTGATTTTTCTGTCAATAATCCAATCGTCAGTGAAAGGTCTAACTGGATTTTATAGAAGAGAGCTAATTTACTATATCAATCAGAAATAGTAGAGGGCCTGAGGACACTGCCATGGGGGACACCAGAAGTAAAAGTAGTTGGAAGTGATACTGACTTATTTGCCTTCACTGCCTGCTTTCTGTCTTAAAAAAACATTAGGATATCCAATTTAAAACTGATGGGTCAATCTGTAGTCTCAAAAGGCAAAGAGGGCAACGATGGGAAACGATGTCAAATGCTCTGGCAAAATCAATAAAGATGATATCAATCTAAGCTGTAAGACAAATCTTTTTTTTTTTTTTTACTGAAAAAATTTGCATCACTGTGAGGAATTATTGCAGGAAGTGGGTTATGTAACATATATACATATATGTATATATATATTTTTAAGGAACGTAAGTAATAGAAAGATGCCCTATATTTCTGTAACAAATTCTCTAAGAAATTTAAATAGTTCCCTACTGCATAAATGACCGTCCTTTTCTAAATCCATGTTGGTTAGCGAAAAGGTTGCAACCGTCTAGATGGGGTATATGATATGGATATAGAAAACATGCTCCACGAGTTTGCATGACAAACTGGTGAGCGAAATGGGGCAATAAGTTGTAGGAATGGAATGGTCTCCCGTTTTGAAAAGAGGTATTACATGGGGAAAGAGTCAATGGAGCAGGCCCAAGCTGGAGTTCAGAAAGAGTTGAATTTATTAAAATTATCTTGTGTGGAATGCCTCAAAATTTAAAGGAATTTGGCACAAATTCCATTGTCACCAGGTGCACTCCTCCCAGGCAAGTTTTCTATTGCTTTGAAGTATGCCACTTGGATTAAATAAGATGTGTTGCATAGGCCAGAAAACAGTTTAAAGCATTTTGTTGAGCTAATAATCAGTTCCTCGATAAATACTAGGCTTGAAAAAAAAATATGTTTAGCAAATTAGCAGCATCAATATAACTTTGCTTTTTAAGCTGCCAATATAAAAATGTAGGGTGGCTTGTTTAATTTGGGGTTCACAATTTTCCAAAATTCCTGAGGATTTGAAGTAAGCATGTGAGGTAATGTCACAGAAAAAAAATAAGTAGTTTTTAGTGCTCTTTAGGTCTTTCTTGCAAATGTTTAGAAAGCTATTTATAAAATAGCCAATTAGTCAACCTGCCTGTCCGTTTGGCTTTTGCAAACAACTCTGTTTTGTTGTTTAGTTAGCGTTCTAATGGGTTCGTAAGCCACGGCGATAAATCCTAGGTTGATACTGCGAATCTCGGGAAGAAAGTGGCAAGCAATTCATTTAAATGTTTCCATGATAGGGCAATTTGCATTAACGGAACGATCTACGTAGGCTTCTGCAAATTCTCGTTCAAATCAAGACTTAGCTGCAATTAAACCTGAAGTATTGCTGGTGCGTAACCTTGTAATCTTTTTGGAGAGTCGTGGGGCAAATTATGTTTTAATGCACGCACCTCAAATCTCTCTAAAAGTTACTTATTAAGTGGTCTTCGATGGGGGCGTGCAAATACTGCTTTGAACGGAATGGCGCAGCATCATTCCTAGCTTCAACACTGCAAAGGGGGCCAGTGAGTTGCGAGTCTCCATGCGGAGAGCAAGTTCGTCTGCCTCTTCTTCAGGGGTCGTAATGAACTCAGAATGCCAAGCTTTGATTGGTTCTGACTGCAGGATACTGGGTAGACCTCAAGGCAGCTTGCTTCGAGGTCTACCCACTATCCTGCAGTCAGAGTCAATCAGAGCATGGCATCATTCTGACGTCACCGCAACCCCTGTGCAAGAAGCAGACGATTCGCTCTCCCATAGCACTGTGACGGCTACGATGATGCAGCGCTATTTGATTCAGGCCAATGTTTGCACACCCCTAGTTTTCAATGGCACCCAGGAAATCTGTAACTAAAACCATACCCTCATTTCAATAACTAAAAAGTTAAGTATTGAAAAACAGTTAATTGCTAAATCGTTCCAAGCATTATTTAACTCACAACTTAATTATCCCAAGCATTTTCACCTTTCCAAACGGGCCCTCTAGCAGAGACAATTATGGCACGTCGAGTGTTACCATGACGTGACACGGTGACGCCGTCGTGCCATGCGACGTCATGATGTCACTTGACTTGATGTCGACTGACATCATGGTGTCATGTGACACCTTATCGCCGGTGTCACGTGACAGTATGACGTCATGTGATGTGACGTCAGAATGACGTGTCATGGTGTAAACCAACGTCAGCGTCACGTGACATCATGTATGTGTGCACGAAGGTCACCAAAACGTCATGTCACGTGACACTATGACATTGAGTTTCATAGAGGCTACATGCGAGGACACAAAGGTGCGAAGAGTAGGGTCTTATATATGATGCATATTTAAGAGGGGTGCCAGGTCGCACGAAAGGGACTGTCGGGGCCACTTGCCTGAGAACTCGGTGAGGGTGTCGGCACGCAGGCGGTAGCGGGGCAGCTGCTCCTCCAGCAGGCTCACCAGTTCCACCTCTTCCCCGCCACAGCTCAGCTCTGCGAGAGGAAGGAGTATGTCACACCGCTTGCATGATGTGTTCGCATGCTTTGTGCGAGTGTGCATTTTAGGCTGAAAATCCATGCTTCTTTAATATGTGTGGGATCGGCACGTACCGACTGCCATTACAGAGCTTCGGCTACATACTCCAAGACGGTTAAATGGACAAGAATACTTACAGATGTGGGCAGGAAACATTCTTCTTTCCAGTTTATACGACGACTCTAATACCAATTGTAAATAAAGTTCCTATGATTGTCTCTTTCCAGCAGAGACAGATATGAACCATTCCAGCCAGGATAAATACTAAATCTTAAATTTTTTGCTTATAAACCTACAAGCTCGCTTCTAGGAGAGCCACATCCGCCCAACGTTACCGTGATGTAGTCGGTTCACATCCACAAGATTCCTATCCTGTTTCGTACAAAGAATGCAACAGCGCTCCATCGAGGCAATAACTGAGCATTGAAAGAGCCTGCTATTAACCACCTAATAATATAGCAAACCTTCTCTTTCACTGATTTACGTGGCAATTCAAATTCACTTCCCATAAAAATTCCTGCCTTGTCTTTTTGTTGTTGTTGTTGTTGTGATTTAATTTTTTTTGGCATTGATTGATAATTATCAAGTCTAGCAAATTATTATTTTGAAATTCCCCGACTTTTCCAGGTTTTCCCTGACCATTTGAGGTGAAATTCCCTGACCACTGTAGAGGCAGCTAAAGGACACATGCAAAGGAAAAAAACATTTTTTTTAGACAGCTTAAATGGAAAAAAGATGTCATAAAACAATTTTACAACGAAGAAAAAAAAATTTTAGAGCTATATTTACGGCACTATACGAATTTGTAGTTGGCGCTCGCGGGAGCCACCGCCAGTCACGTGGTAGGCCCGCGCGCCGCCGCACGTTGAGCGTTGTGCGAACGCCGCTTCAACGCGTTTCTAAACGCCGCCGTCGCCGCCGCCGCACAAGTTGGTCTGCTTCGGAGCGCCGCCGCCGTCGTCTGACCGGCGCACAGGTCTATCACGTCTGCTTGCGCTTTTTCAGGAGTTTCCTTTGGGCTCTAAAAGTTACTTATTCATCTTAGTTTTTTGTTATACCTCAAACAAAGATGAATAAGTTACTTTTAAAGGCCCTAGGAAGCTTCCGAAAGAGCGCAAGCACCACGTGACAACTATGGGCCCATCAAGGGCCACTTTTCCGCGGCGCCCGCCGGCGCGAACTACAAATTCGTATAGCGCCGTAAATATAGTTCTAAAAATTTTTTTTTCTTGGTTGTGAAATTTTTTATGATATCCTTTTTCCATCTAAGCTGTTTAAAAAAAATGTTCTTTTCCTTTGCATGTGTCCTTTAAATATATATAAGACCATTACAATACAAGGCCATGAGCATTGAGCACTGTGAGCACCATTTTGCACGGGCTTAATTCAAGTTGCATATTCCGAAATATTCGGGTTCATCCAGTCCAGATTAAACGAGCACTTTCTTGCCGCCGACATCGTCAGTGAAGAGGCCTCTTCTGGAAACACAATGAAAACACGACGCTCAACCACGTACGTCAATTACCGAATCGCAGCATGGCGCATGGCCGCCAGATGCACACTTTCAGATATTTTCGGCTTAATGCTTGGACTGGATTGGGGCCTGCAGCTTTCCCATTTGTTACTAAATCTAGTAGCTCTAACTGGATCAAGCCTAGTGTCATGCCCTCAATCCAATTCAATTCAGAGCTTGGAGTGGATTTGTTGGCTGTTCTCTTTGCATCGGGTAGCACACTCTACATAGGGTGAGCAGAGACCGCGCTCCTTTCTAAGTAGTACTTATTGCCTATATTTCTGCCCCCAAGTCTTCAAGTCTTTGCTCAGGGCACTCAATGGCGTTTCCGACTCATTTTCCCGGACTGGGCTCGCTTTTTGACAATATCCCTGACAATTTCCTGATTTTTCCCGGTAAACAATATTTCCCTGACAATTTCCGGTTTTCCCAGTCGCTAGACACCCTGATGATGCATAATCTTTATATCCTCTCATACTTAAGAGCATTCCAAGTTTTGGAGACTTCGTTCCAATTTCTTTTTTATTGCAGCTCGCTATCAAACAAGCTCAAATTACGGTAAATTTACTTCTTTTCGAAAGTCGACGGCGAACCTGTTCAAAGATGACCAAGTTAGCTATGAATGTAACTTGTAGTGCCATCTACCGACAAGCACAGCGAGCACGCACTGTTGTCTGCTAGCTGCGCCTATCAGGAGGTGGCACCACAAATTACATTCACTGCTAATTCAATCATTTGTGAGCACGTCTGCCATTGACTTCGGCAAGTTTGTTGGTTTAATTTTTCAGAGGAAAAGAACTGTGCCTCGAAATTTCAAAAGAAAAAATTGACCACTTCAATGGACGTTCGTGAAAGTTTGACCTTTCTATGCGCAGGCACTGATATTCATAACTCGTCTTACAGCATAAGATTTACTCTGCAAACCCTATTTATCGATAAAACATTTCTTAAACAAATCAAGGTGCTCATACAAAAGTCACCAAAGAAGCATTTTCTTTTTTATTAATCAGCAGCTAAGGGGTTATTAAATTAGTTATTCAAATCCATAGTTCGTGCCAAATTACATTATGCTCCTGCAATCTGCAATTCTGGTCAGACTACACATAGACATGTTTACCCTGGAGTCACTTCAAAAATTCAGCGCTCGTTTTACACTTTCCAGGTACCTTTGTATGGCCAGCCTCCAGTGTATTGTCCGGGAACACTAACTTCTCACGATAAATGCTCTTGTCTACTCTATGTTTTTCTTTTTTCTATAAAAAAAAAAAAAAAAGAAAGACATTTACAATTCTTTGTAATGCGAAATTAGAGTGAAGCTCCTGAGGAGGAGGAAAAGAGGGTACGGAGGGGAGGGTATGCCCCTCCTCCCTCTCCTTCACTCCCATTTAGCCAGAAATTTTCGCTAAATTCAGCAAAAATTTTTCCGCTAAATTTATAGGGAAAATTTTCCGGCTAAATTTGGTAGGAAAATTTAGCGAAAACTTTCCCGCTAAATTTAGATGAAAATGCAGCGAAAATTTCCCAGCTACTTTTAGAGGGTTAAGTTTCCCTGCTAAATTTAGCGGAAAATTGACATCACGTGGACCTCAACACCAATTCAGTTTCCCCGCTAAATTTAGCAGGGAAACTGTGACATCCCCTAATGCAATGCTTGGATATGTTGATGGCAATGGCGATGCCACTGAACCCAGAAACGTGCGCTCTAAAACACACTAGCCTCACCCCAAGAAGAAAACCTTTCCCTCTTACATTTCTTCAAGATGGCATTCGTCACTGACGAGCCTCGGCCTACCGCAATTCCTTCATTTCTAGAACACTGGCAGAGTGGAACCACCTACGTGCATACCATGATTAAATTATATAAAACAGCTGTTACTAATTATTTTTGTGATAGTGTCCAATCACTATGGTCCACATCCGGTGTTTGTACGCACTTAGTGCTTAATCCGAACGTAAATTATCATACACGGCACATTTTGACAAATCCCTGCTGCATTAGTTCACAAAGAAGCTTGTATCATACGTAAATCAACATTAACATACTCGGTTACTCGTGAGATCCATCAAGTTTCATCACAGTGAACGATCTAGAGAAAAAACAAATCCTCATACAGTCCGCATCAGGCAAATTTTCAACTTTTAAACATATATAGTTTGCAGAGTATCGTCCGGAAATGACGGTAGCTACTATCTATGTCTGTTGAGTTTGGTTACCTGTACACCTCTGTAATGTCAGCTGGGCCCTAAGGGTACTGTAGAAAATAAATAAATAAACGAGGCTTACAGAAACGCAGCGGCAATGCAAGCATCGAGAAAACTTTAGAGAGCCCCTCAAGCGGGCCTGGCTCTTCTTTTAACTTTACACCGGAGATAGCAAGACGACTCACTCACTTCTCGCGATAAAATGTTTCCAGCTTCTGAGCTTTGAATTTCCTCGCATTGTCATTGGTGAGGCCATGCACCTTGTGTGCTTCCTTCTGTCCTGATGCGCGTTAATTGTTCTTTCCCAAATAATATCCTGCCGTGTAACCTCCCTACTGCAATGCCAACCTCCAAGTAATATCCTCAATGTGATCTTTCATAAATGTACCGGAAAGCCTTTGATAGCAGCCATTTTATAGAAAACTGAGCTAGACGTGCCTGCAGTGTACAGATATTAGAAATTCAATAATTTAGGGGGTGTCTGCTATTAAATTTTATAACACTTTTATTGTTCAAAGTATTTGGGTTCTTTCAATATTAAAACAGAAGCCTCTAAAAGTATATTAAGAATCTTTTATTGGTGCTCTACTCTCAGTTACACCCATCTCGTTTATGAGAAGCAAAAACGAGATGGGTGGCTTTCTAGTTTTCACGACGCAATTTGTTAGGACCAAGGTAATCGTACCGATGCTTTTTTTCATTTTCTTTTTTTTACGGGAAGCTAATTCTTTAGGAAATTGAAGACGTACCCTAACCCAACAAAAATCACATTCAACCATCTGACCATAAATTTCAGAAGTGACGTAGGGAAACAAGATTAAAAAGTACAGACGTACCGTAATGTCCACCCCCGCTTTTACAAAATTGCTTTTACTGAAGAAAAAAAAAATAAAAGTGGCTTATTTTTAGAAACTTTATGAGCTGCACACAAGTTTCGACAACAACAGCATCTGTATTTCGACAACGGACTTAAGTTAACGAAGTTCTACTTTTGTAATTCAAATAATATGATGCTCATGAAATGGTCAAGGGCAACTGACGTAGGCACAGGTAGACGGGAAACGAGGTATGAGCATTTTGTCAGATATCTACTTGGGCTGCACACTGAACATTTGCCCACCCCCTCCCTCTACAGCATTTGGCCTCTGGGAAAAGTGAATGACTGTCAAACCTGTTTCTATTGAACGTGTGAAAAAGCAGGTAGCAGTTTGACATATGTATACTTCTCGGTACATTGGAAGGGAAAAGAAGACAGAGAAAAACCCACAAGACGCCATTACGACATCCATACTCTGAGCTTGTTCCAATCTACTGTAAACTACCTATTTTGCGCGGACTCAATATTTCTTTATTTAGGTCAAAGCTAGAGTTTTGGAAGAATTCACGGGTTCTAATTTTCGCGACGTGGTGGGATCTCAATATAAATTCCAATGTGTTTACATTTTACAGAAATTGTTTGCGGAACCTATTTTTTGCCAATTGCAGGCGATTCGCGAAATTCGGAAAAATTAGGTTTTTGCGAAAATTAAGTTGTTTACAGTATTTCGACACACGTGTTCCCAATCGCGTGCTTCTCTATAGTATGACAAGGGTAAACAGAAAAAAGACTCCAACCTGCTTTTCTCAAGGAAGCTCGATTACTGCGAAGCTTCCTCGAGTCACTTTTCCTTAATTTTATTTCTTGCTCGGCAAGCCCAGACGTCATTAAAGGAAACAAAAAGTAGAAAGAGAGCTCTCGTGTCTAACAAAAAAATTTAAAAAAAGGTTTTTTTTGGTGTGTGTGTGTTTTTTTTTTTGTCACCAAGACAGGAAAAGGAAACCTGGTAGAGAGCGTGCGTCGGAAGTTATGCAATAGTACTTCAAATCTTGTGCACTTTGTTCCTTCAATAAATTTATCTTGTAGGTTATGGTCTAGTTATTTTTTTCATTAAAAAACACAAATATCATTTACTTTACTTTTGATGCGTCATCTTTGCTCCGGAGCAAGTACTGAATTGGGATATTAGATACAATGCTCCTTCGACACTTTGAAAAGAAGCAACAGCCACAGCAGGGGCCGAGAGATATTGCATCCTCACATAATTGAGCGTGCCTACGAGCAAGGTTCGGCATTTCTGGAACCCATTTTTTTTTTCTTTTTTACGAAAATTGGGGATGCTTTTTTTAGTTTATTTTACCACAAGTTCCGGGCTTTTCAGAGCTTTTATTCCTCGTCGTGCCCAAAATTTGTATTTTTTCATACACTTAGAATCACTGGCCTAGGCGGAAAACGGCAGTTTGCAAATTTAGAAAAACAGTCTTTCTATTGACAGTGCAACAACGGCAGAGCCTTTTGCGACATAAATTATTTTCCATAAATAGTAGTCTTTTGAGCTATCCAAACTGAACATATTATTGGAGTGTCCAGGATTTACCCTTTCCAGCAGGCTATTCATTATCTCTGCATTCAAAATAGCCATTGAGAAAAAGACAACCGGAAGCATAATGCCAAAACCAACATCCAAACTCACCGCGCTCTCCAGAGGTGCAACGTCAAGCGTTGTATGGCTTACAAGAGTAAAAAAATGCAATATTTTATACGTTATTTTTTTTGTTTTTTTCATCTTGCTGGCACGAGCTTTCTCGGCTTCATTTCACACCATGATACTCTCTTGTGACCCGTCGGGGACAAGCTGTGTGGCCCCCCTCTAGCAGTACATTTGATGTCGTGTTTTCGGCGTTGCCCTAGTAGAGCCTCTCTACGTCTCTCAAACCGAACGTAAAATATAAATACCTTCGCGAAAAAAAAAAAAAATTATTGTGACTTGTAATTTGAGTTACTAAATCAGGTGTGTCTATTAATGTACCAAACTAACTTTTAAGCTAATCAGAAACTGTCAAACGTTCGCTGGACGACTTCGCCTTTAATTACAGCATGCAAGGTAATGTGTGCATAAATATGAACCTTCGACAAAAAGAGGACAAACAAGCGTCTCTTGTACAAAAACTAACTGTGTTCAAAAAAAATTTTTTTTGTTTTTAATTTTGGTTATAAGTTAATTGTCTATTTAGACCCAACTTGCTACTGATATGAAAATACTCCCATCAGACAATATTTTATTCGATAGGCCAACACTCGTAATATTCATATACAATGCTCAGTAAATTTTTCCTATTCAGTGCACAACCAACGTATTTTTAAGAATCATATGAAATTCCTTGGGTGTTAGTCGAGCACTTAGGTTAGAATTTGTACGACGACGCTTTGTAAGGGTCGTGTATGACCACCACATTAGACGGAAAGTTTTCAATGATTATGTGCACCTTTTAGACACCCTTGGTCTTTTGCCTCTCCCAGATGCACAGCTTGCTTGCGGTATGGTGTTTGTCTATAAGGTGCTCGACGCAGTTATTGATTCTGCCCTGCTACTTAGCAGAACCTCATTACAGGTCCCCCAACAACAAAATACATCCAGAACTTTTTTTTCCTTACCGTTTTGATGTGGAATCTGACACTCAAATGACATGCATGCAGTTTATGTACAACACTCGTAACAACTCTGCTTCGCTCAATTTGAAAAGTTCAAGAAAAGTGTACTGCTCAAGTTTCCTCGCTAGTTATATACTTTCTTTTTCCTCATGTATGTGCACACCCATAAGGCCTACCAGCTGTTTGGGGGCACAATGAAACATACAATGAATTGATTGATTGATATTTGATTTGCAGTCATGTTTGATACGCTTCTTATATTTGTAGTTAATTTATTACCATACCATTTATTACATAAGGGGTATGAAACGTGGCTTCGATTGCCTTCAAGTATCTTCCACTTTCTGTGATTGTGTTTTGTCACTGTTCTGCTTGATGTGCTCTAGTTGGTGCATTGTGCAGCGGGATGTTTGCTACTTGTAAGCATTATGATTTCTGTGACCCACTTACATATTCTGAAGTGATGCTTTTTGCAGGCATGCCCAGTCCCATGCACAAGCAGTTTTTGACTCTGTGAGGCAGCTTTCTATGTACAGCCATTTCAGGAAATAAAATCAACAACATCGCACTCATTAATATTATTATACGATTCACAGACAAAAGTTTGGCATTCGCAATCACCTAAAAAGAGCACTAAAGAGGGCCGTACCATAGAACACCTTTTAACAACCGACAAACCATCTGCATAGGCTTGTGCAAATAGTGGATTTTGAGTTTGAAGCGAATAGTGGTCTCGGCCAAATAGTTTCTTTAAACCTATCATTACTGTTGCACTATGCTTGACTTAAAGCACAGGTGAACTAGTGAAGGTTGTGCCCAAGCTTCTGCTTGTTTATTTCTAAGCTAGGTTAATTTTAATCTAACTATATTTATAAACTGTGACCTCAGAAAGTCCAATGCCTACATTCGGATGGTAAGTAAATGATGCATTGGACATAAATGAAACCTACAGAGATGCCCAGCTATACCGATTTGAGGGGTTTATAAATCTTCTTGCTATGTAGAAATATCCTTTCATTAATCTCAAATTCAAAAAAAAAAAAGGGACAATCACGAATGATTAACACAGATTGTCAGGGCATCTCTCTAATATATACTTTTGCACAGTTCAATTTTGAAAGTTTTCCTGCAATGTAGATATTTTAAGAATGTTCGTGATACGAGGGTTTAATGTTGTATGAGATTTACAGTAAAAGTAGATAAGGTGACAGTTTGACCGTTCCGAAAGGCAAGCTCGAAAAGCCACAAGCTTCCGCGGGCTTTCTCCACCGAGCGTGCGCTTCGTCCTCCTCTTTTGCTAATATTATCAACAATCACAAATTTTTCATTTTCGTTTAAATACACCAGGCGCACGCGCGCGCATGTCATCCCACGGTGAAAATGTGCTTTTCTCTTAAGCATGCCGACTGCAACATTTTTATTTTTTGAAGCGTCGATCGCGGCTGGTTAGCCCCATTGAGCACGCTTCTCGCCAAGCACTGGTGCACTGCAGAGAAGCGAGCTTCGCGGGTGTCGTTTCTTTGCAAACAAATCGCTCCACGTTGCTTTTTTTTTTTTTGTTTTTGTTTCGGGCAAACACGTCCCTCCATGTTTTTATTTTGAAAAAATTAAAGAAGGTGCCAAATATTATGCTTATTTGCTAAATTACATTTCAATTCATAAAGAAGACGACCCAGACGGTCCCTTTAAAAGGCGTACGTGCCATAGGGTTCAAATTGCATGCCAAAGGAAAGATTTGGAGCCACGCCAAATAAGAGGCCTCTACACGCCGACAGACTGAGAAAGGTAGGGTGTGCCTTCGAGACACCCGACCTCAGCACCCGCTCCGCACCTTCTACCGCGCTTCGGCTACGCATGCACACTAGAGTTGCACGAGGCGTCGGAGCGTCCTTGAAGGTACAAGGGTCACACCGGAGGCGGAACAACCGAAGTTCCTCCCTGCCTTTCTCTTCTCGTCAGCGACTCTAGAAAGGCTGAGAAAGGGGAACTGCACCCACCGGTGAGGGTGTGGGCGTTCCTGGTGCCGCCAGAGCCCGACGGGGCCACGTCCCCGCCCTCCAGCTTGCCGGCGTTGGGGGGCCTCCCGGGGGCACAGCTGGGGCCGCCCCGCGCGGGGAGATGCGTCCCTCCGGCCTACACCAAGCACCCCCAGAAGTGGGACCCACTTGGGGGGCACCACGGTACGGTACGCCTCGCGCCCGAGGCCCCACCCCCGGACGGGACGACTCTCCTCCGCCGGAAGGGTCAAGGCTGCCGTCCTGCGGTCGACGTCTGGAACGAGAGATGGCGAAATGTCACTTGTTCAAGATGCTTGCTATGATGCTCTTTGATAAGCACCTTCTCACAGAAAACTTCTCAAGAAACACATTCTGTGCTAAGCACGTTCATTCGACCAAACGCGATGAAATGCGGTAGCTTTATGGGAACATCGTTAGTGAAAACAATTGGGGAAGGAAATGGTATGGTGATGAAATGGTTGTGATATGGTTGAACACACATAGAAGACGACGTCAAGGACGGCGTCTAAGACCATGAAGATGGTGTTAAGGACGACCTTAAGAATGACGTCTAGGACGTCTAGACGGCATCTAGGGTGACATCAAGGGCAACCTCTTGGACATCCTCAAGGACGCCATCTAGGACGACGTCTAGGACAATGTCTAGGTTGACTTCAAGGACGACCTCTAGGATGACCTCTAGGACGGCATTAAAGAAGACGTCTAGGATGACGTCGAGAACGGTGTCAGGGGTGTCAGGTCACGTAAGCTTCAGCCAACAGCGCTTACAAGCTCAAGTGACCGGCACTTACGAGCAGAGAGCTTACACAATCGGCGCTTACGTGACCTTGATTATGCAACCTTGCACTTCAGCTACGGGCATTAGTATGCGACCTTGATTACATAAACTTGAGGGCATGACCTTCAGCATGGTTGGGCCTATAAAGCTACAGCTTTAAAATGCTTAAGCTCCTACTAAACTATAGTGAGTGCAGCTTACCTTCACAGGTGTCCCTGTGTCATGTGACACCATGATGTCACGTCATATGATGTCACATGACATGGTAAACTTCACCACTAAATTTAGTGGGAATACCTCCCCACTAAATTTACCAAGAAAATAATATACATCTGTCCTTGACATTACATCTATTTGTGACGTTACATCTCATCCGTGATGTTACGTCTGTATGTGACGTTATGTCTGCTCATAAAGTTACCTTGGTCCGTGAAACTATGTCGGTCTGTGATGTTATGTCTGACCGTGACAATAAGTTTGTCTGTGACCTTACGACTGCCAGTGACTATGCATCTGTCCGTGATGTTACGTCTCTACATAACGTTAAATCTTTGTAACATTATGTCTGCCTGCGACTAAGCCTGTGGTGAGGTTGCAACTGTCCATGACATTACGTGCATCCGTAACATTACATCTGCCTGTGAAGTTATGTCAGTCTGCAACGCTAAGTCTGTGACGTAACGACTAGTCGGAGGTTTCTCGAGTGTTCTCGCGTTTATAGTCGGTTACAAGTCAAGCAGGTAGGAGAAGCTCCTCCCACAAGCGTGATGCGCCCGTTTCAAATCTCTCCGCAGTCGAAAGAAGAGTTCACTGGAAACGCTCCTTGTTCCGCTTCAATGGATTCAAACTTGTCTCCGATCCCACTTTTTAAGAAAGCGACCTTTGTATTCATTCGAGGGGGAACCGAGCACCAGAAAGCAGCCTTTGTATCCATCGGAGGGGAAGCTAATCCCCGAAAGTCGTATTTGTTTCGATCGGAGGGGGAAAACTCTAATCTCCCTCTCGTGGCTTCCACAATGCTAAGTCAAAGTCGAAAGATAAAGCAAATATGTACAAAAGGCAAGACCCTTCTCGCGCGTTGGCCGCGACGTCATGGAAACGATGGGAGGCTATTGGATGCGGAGGTGGCAGAGGGATATCTGATTCCCTTTGAGGGGCATTTGCCGCTACCTTCTTAACCTGTAACCGACTATAGTTACATCTTCGGGGAACACAAACATAATATTAAGATTCATGGGATAATAATATCCTAGAATTCACATTTAACTCTTTTTTTTTTCAAGAACCTCTCCAGCTTCCCTTTAAAATGAAATGGTTCCTGAAGTTCAATAGCTGCACACACCGATCGTTGCAGCGCGTCGCGTAGCTCGCCTAGGTTTCTGATAAAAAAATGTCCGCATAACGTCTCTCGTTTCTCTGAGGTACTATCTCTTGATAAATAAGCTTGATAAATAAATAAGAATAATAATAATAAGATAAATGCCAAAGTTGTGACCCATACATGCAAAGAAACAGCATAAGTGCAACCCATCTCGTTAAAAGAGTGTCAGGTTTAATGATATGGTGTCACATGGGAGTTGCTCAAACCCACCACTTTTGAAAGACTCATAAACCGATTGGATCATGCTGGAGCGCTATGTTTATTTTGTATTGACACGCGTGATCCGGGCAGTTTAGGTTTTCGGTGTTCATTTATGGCCATTCTTTACTCAGAGGCAACCAACAACTGCGCTGTTGGACGCAAGTTTGACCCGTCAGAGCGGGTGATGCTCCAGTGGAGTCTGCAGTGGCGCGGGATGTGACGGAAAACGAAGAGGCTTCCGCAGTCCAAAGTCTGGATAGGTGGAGATGCCTTCCGAAGTTGGAGGCCAGGCTTGCAATGTACGGCGCAAAAGTGTGCAATCGGTCCCTACCCGTGACGTCCAACGCGATCGCCGAGCAAGCGCGGAAGATGCGGCTGATCATTTGCAAAGTGCGAGATTTCGTTAGACGACACCGACGACGTGCTTCGAGAACGTGGCAGTGATGATGACGGGACTGACATCACCAGTGCGGACGAGTCATAGTCTAGTCGCGGACGGAGTGAGAACGAGAGTTGGCAGCTTCAGTTGTCCTGCCTCCAGCGTGAACTTCCTAGTTTCGATAACGTCTGGGCATCTCGTGCACCTCGCACTTGCATGCGCAGCCAAAGCAAGCCAGAAGGCATCGATCGCGTGTTGGAGGCTCAGCTTTCGAAACTGATTATTAGCCATTCTCACGTGTTCGCAGTAAAATGTGCGTCTAAAGTTGTTTTTGTTTTTTTTGTTGATGTGCAATGTAGGGGGGGTCGACTTACAATCGAGTCGACTTACAATCGTGTAAATACGGTACATTAAAAGCACTGTTCACGTCTAAAGTAAAAAGTAAAAATTGTGGATTGTGCGTCGGGAGGGGATACAGCTGCAAATAAAGATAGCAAACACCGTTTGGGTGCAGACACAAGGTCTGCAAAAGAGGGTTGGATGTGTATATGACCGTGGATAAATTTTGTAGATACGAGGTCTGAGAAAGAGGGTCGGATATGGGTACCACTAGCTCTAAAGATTTTAGACATTACTTAGGTGAGGATACAGTCTCCTAAAGCATGTCAGATGTGGATACAACCACAGATAAAGATAGCAGGCACTGTTCGGATACAGATAACAAGATACAAATATATACAAAAATTGGATGTGGACATAGCCATGAGAAGAAAGATAGCAGATGCCGTTCAGATGTGGATGAAGTTGACAAAAGCGGGTAGGATGTGTATACAACAGTGGATAAAGAGTATATACACTGCTCGGACGCAAGTGCAAAGTCTGCAAAAGAGGGTCGGATGTGCTTATGAATAACAAATAAAGATTTCAAGTGATGTTCAAAACAACTTTGGATGTGGATATGACTGCACATAGATATTGCAGATGCTGTCTGGTAGAGGATACAAAGCATGTCAAAAAGGACCGGATCTGGATATGGAAAGAGAAAAGACTGCCGAGGCCGTTTGTATGCAGCCACGGAGTCAGCAAATGCGGATCACGTACAAAGAAAAATTTCGACTCGACGACGGAGATGGATGGACACTTATCTTTGGAAGTGTGGGTCTCAACGAGAACGTTATCTGCGAATAAAGTGAGCATTGGCCTGGTCTACTGATATCAAAGGTAATATTTGCCTTCCGAGTCCATCTCCACAAAGTGCAGGCAAAAGCAAGGACCTTCGTGAAAACGTAATTTGGTTAAAAAATTGCTTGATAAAACAAAAGCCATTCACTCAAACAATCTTTAGTGAGACAGGATTTGTTGAAGGTTGACCCGCAAGCAGAAAGGAGCCACACTTTCCTCCTTGCCATTCCTCTGCAACAAGAAAGGGGGAAGCCACCTCTCCTCTCCTCCACTCATTTCCTGCCTGTGAGAAGAACATCAAAGGCGAGCAGGAAAAGAGGGGAAGAAAAACAGGCATTCTCGACCAGGCCAAGAATGTTTTTTGCAGGTTGGACACGCCGAGCAAAAAATCAGCCTAGAGGCAACACCAGCCATTAATGAATAAATCACTTTTTTATTTTTTTTCCTAGGCAAGGACAAACTTTTCTCGAGAGGTCCAAAAGTACAAAAAGGACAAACAACGTCGCTTGACAGGGTGGTTAACATGACCATATGAGCAGGCAGGACCAGAGTTTTGCAAGTAAAACCAGAGGTTTCTTTTACATTTTGTAATCACAACGTTTGCCCTAGTGCTTCAGAGTAACTAATTCCGAAGTTGGTAACTCCTGTATATGGTTCTAATTTCCGTAACTAGCAAGTGGAACTGTAGCTCAGTTACGTTTTCAGGCAGCTTGTCACTTGTCCCATGACAGTCACTTTTCAAAACTCTCGACGCTTGCAAACGCGTTCAATGACTTGATCACGCACAACTCTTGCTTGACAACATGAAGACAGCAGTCTCTCATTTCTTGGGTGCTTTTATACAGGACAAGCTTATTGGCAGCTGCAGTCAATGACAAGGTGAGAACAGGAGGAAGGGGTTTCCGTTGACCCGCCTCCGGCCTGAGCTTCCTACCTCCCATAATGCTTCAGCATCTCGTGTACATAGAGCGCATGCACGCAAACGAAGCATGACAGAAGGCATGGAGCGCGTGCTGCAGGCCGGACATTCGAAAGGCACACCCTGCCATTCTCATTCTGTTGGCGACTATATAGTTACACTACATTAGCTTCACTAACATTAAACAAGAATGATGTTTTACTGAAATGAGGTCAACGAGCTTTGAAAACCCCAAGCATACTTCTTATATTTAGAGCTATTTCGGTCTATACG